AACCCTAGTGAGCATCATAATGTTATATCACGAAGGAGTACCAGAAGCCATACAGAAGCTTTGTGGTGTGACAGGACATTCTGCAGGGTTGTGGGGACCAGTGTGGGTAACTATAGAGCTCATGGGCATAAAGGACAAACAGAAAGTATACTTGGCTGACATTGAAGACGAATGCATATTAGGATTGGACTATCTATTACCGAGGAAGTTTGTGATTGATTTTGATAAAATGACATTTGGGAACAACAAAGGCCAAGTTCTGGTAACTGTTAAAAGAGAGGTTGAACTAATTAGGTGCCATCAAAGTGACTGAAGAAGTTGATGATTAAGTGGAACCAAATATAGATATCAAAACAGAACAGGAGAAAGACCAAGATTTGAAACCTATAATTGATTTCCTAAAAACAAGTGTTTTGCACCCTGCTTGGGAGAAAGTGTCTAGTCTAAGCCCTGTGACAAAGCACTATTGGGCACAATGGGACCAGTTAAACCTTGAAGAGGGTATTCTTGTCTGGAGATGGGAAATTGACGACTTGGCAAATGGTTATACTGAGAAAGTTACGGGAAGTTGTGCTGCGTCAATCCCATGATACTTTAACAGGAGGACATCTCGGAATTAAGAAGACATTGAGTCACCTACGACAAAGATTTTACTGGATAGGTATGAAGCAAGATGTGGAAGAATGGTGCAGGACATGCAATACACGTAGTGCTAAAATGGGACCCAAGCATAAGGGATGCCCACCTTATGAAGAGTCGCCTGTGAATATGTCAGAGTTTGTGGAAGTGTTATCGGAAAGGATAGATGATATTCACCATTAAGTGTGTTCAAACTTGAAAATGTCTGCTGATTCGATGAAGCTATCTTATGATAAGAGATCTACTGAAGTCAGCCTTGAACCAGGAGACAAGGTATGTTTGTATAATCCCAGAAAGACCAAAGGGAAGTCTCCTAAGTTGTCTTCTCCATGGGAAGGCCCATATGACATAGTAGATCATCTTTCAGACGTGACTTTCCAAATCAAATGTGGTCGGCGAGGTAAGCCAAAAGTGGTGCATGCCAACAGGCTTTGGCGTTATCACGGTCCAGGACATTTCCTGGAGACTTAGGAGACTTCCCTTTGGTCTTTCCCACAGTGCCTTCCCATCGAATTCCTGTGGCTTCCTTCTTACTAGATCACGCCTTCTGCTGACACTCGTATTTGGAATGTGACTTCTGACAGGACTGAAGATGTCTGCATTAGGGTTTAGTTGCGGGGTCTGGAAAGGGCTTCCTGTTGTCTGAGGCTGATTAGGTCGATGGCTAATATATCCTCCTTTAATGTACTTAATTCACTTTGAAATTTACTAATGTTTTTGACTTTCCTGTAGTTGTTGCTGACTTTCCTGCAACTGTTGGATACTTTCTTCCTGTTTCATTTCTTTTTCCCCCAACAACTGCTGTAATCTCTCTTGTTTATTTTGCTGTTCGAGCTGCCATCAAATCTGTTAAGCTGTAGTTGGATTTGCCACCTCTCGTTTCCATTTTTTTTTTCTCCCACTCTGACACCAATCCGTTACGGCTCTGGTCGTTTGTTAATTTCCCGTAAAAATTCTCTCGGAAGAAGTTCAGAGATAAAAGTCCCTTCTTAAATAAAACTAGGTTATTCTTTCTCAATACAACTTTGCAATACACTTAATTTCCACAGTCATTTTTCTTTAACACACAACGATTCACGCACTTTGCTTACAACTTGACCCGATTATCTGTCTCTATATTTCTCTGTCTGCTATTATTGTCTCCGCTTCACTTGCCGGGCTTATATACAAAAATAGAGGGCGTCTAGCAAATACTAGGATATTCGTGATGTTCCCCAATTCTTCTAGAAACTAGTAAAGTGTTACCAGCGTCACGTGACAATATATATATATATATATAATAAAGCAACGAGTTGAGTCGTAAATTACCCCCATCGGTAACAAATTGAAGGTTGATTTTCTGATATAGCTGTCAGTGAAATTAATTCACAGTAACTGATGTTTGAAAGCCAATTTAATTCTGAGTGTTTCAATTTCTGTGCTTAAGGTAATTTATGTATATTGTCAAAATCAGTTATCAGACAAAAAATTATATCTTATTCCTTTGTGTGCATGTTTGAAGTACAACCATGAAGCCTGCATGGTTTCTTTTTGTGCTGTTCTTTCCCCTCTCATAAGCAAAAACTTTAAATTTCAGATATAACTGCATCCTTATAGTCTCATGGGGAGGTGAAACTAAAGGGATCACACACACATTTATTTCTTTATAAGGCTAATCTCATGAGACACCATTGTAAGGTACATATTTTCTATATGTTTATTTACTAACAAGGAATGAGTTAAAGGCTACAAGTTAACTATACTTTTTCTCTCCAGGAAATAACACAAAATCATGACTGGAAAGCTTCCTGCTCTTACCAAGCCTGCCCCAGACTTCAGAGGGACAGCTATAGTAGATGGTGAATTCAAGGAAATCAAGCTTTCAGACTACAAAGGAAAATATCTAGTTTTATTCTTCTACCCACTAGACTTGTAAGTTTATAAGATTGTAAAACATTTCCTTTGAGGCAAAATATTTCAACATACAGCTGTTTTTATACAACTTAATAGTGTAAGATAGTCATATAACATTTGATGGTCGTTAGGTTGAAATAAATATCTCAATAAAAGTGAAAATAGGGTACAAGTTACCACATAATTCCAAAGTTTAGTTTGTGAAAGAAACTAGATGGTTTAAAAGCATTGTACTTTTGTTTTCTTCGGAAATTATCAGGTCCATAATGTTACTATTATTTAAGTGTTATACATTTATTATCTTTCACAAATATTGCAAAAATCTTGACAGTTACATTCAATCATTCCTTTTATTTCAGTGATCTACAAGCTCAAATGACTTAATACATTAACTAGACTATTTTTTGTTGACAGTACCTTTGTGTGTCCCACTGAGATCATATCATTTAGTGACAGAGTGGAGGAGTTTAAGAATATTGGATGTGAAGTTGTAGCTTGCTCTACAGACAGCCACTTTAGTCATCTAGCCTGGTAGGTAAAACTAATTCTTGAGTGATTCATTACTTGCTTATATCATGTTTTAACTATATACATATTGAATTCTTAAAGCTCATACAAAACTTTTGGTGAGTTAATATTGAATACTGTAATAATGTTATGTTACGATTTTTGTGTTATTTACCACAGCATCCACCTCAAAACCCAAATACCTAAGCTTGATCTTTGTTATTTTACTAAAATAATTTATAAGAATAATTAATCATACCAATCACTAGAAGAGTGAACTAATTTTATATTTTTTGCTTGGCTTTACTGCAATTCAGTCTGTTGAAAACAATCTTGCAAAGAAATAGGTATCTAATTAAGAACTGTCTAGTTTTATAACAAAGTGACTTTCAAACACTCTTTTAAAAAAATTCACAGTTCATCCATAACTAAGGCTGATTGAATTTAATGATATCATGTTAACATCTTAGTATACATCATTGTGAAATAGCTACAAAATCTTAGTTTTAAAACAATTTTGTCTTCACAAGGGTGAACACTCCAAGAAAGGAAGGTGGCTTAGGAAATATGAAAATACCTTTGTTGGCAGATAAGAACTTGGATATTGCTAGAGCTTATGGTGTCTTGAAAGAGGATGAAGGTATAGCATTCAGGTAAGTGTTTTCTTTATGAACTACTAAGACTAGTTTATCATAACTTAAGGTTTTTCTTATTTTTGAACAATTAAATGTAACTGACCACAAAACAGCTATAGCTATTTGTTTTTACCATATGTGCAGAGGGCTTTTCATAATTGATGAGCATCAGAAATTGAGACAGATAACTGTCAACGACCTTCCTGTTGGCCGATCAGTGGATGAAACTTTACGTTTGGTACAGGCATTCCAGTTCACTGACAAACATGGAGAAGGTCAGTCTTACTCTAAATCTTTTAAGATCTCACTTTAAATTCAGACAACTATTTTGCTACTTTCTTATATCGAGTACAATACAGTATAATTTTCAGAGTTGGTAATTTAGTTTGTGTTCTTGATTGTATTTATAATTTCTTTAACACAGAGTTTGTGTTCATTCACTCATTATGTAAATAAAACATTCTTCATATAGTGTGTCCTGCTGGCTGGAAACCTGGAGATGATACCATGAAACCAAACCCTGTGGGGAGTAAGGAATACTTTTCCAAACAATGAATCATTACAAGAAAAACCAAAGGAAATAAGAAAGTTCTGCATTCCTGAAAAAGTGACTAATTCTATTACTTGCTACTGGGGGATGAGCTAAGTACTTAAATTCATGTAAAGACATACAAAAATCTCAATGCAAACATATTTTTTGTCCTTCTTTCTGATATAAAATGGCATCATGTATGTAATGATCTGAGAGATCATGTAGTAGTATGTTCAACAATAAAGCTTGTATGCTAAATTTAATGAACAGTGCAGGTGTTTGGGGTGAGGAAGTCTCAGTTCTGGGTCCATAACATCTCTCAACTTAACAAAGAGAAGCAAGCTTCACAGAACAACTAAGTTTATTGATCTAAAACAAGCAAATTTTTCCAAATACAGCTGATACATTAATCAACAATTTGTACTTAAGTTAAACTTACAGCTATAATTTCCTTAAAGTAGTACTTACAATTATGGCCCCAAGGTCTGGAGAGTTTAACAGCCTAACATGATAACAGTGATGAGAACACCCATTCATTCCAGCACAATGACATAAAACATTAATATTTTTTCAACATGCAATGTGAAATAGACAACCTTATTTTACTGCTATCAAATGTCAAACCCAGCAGCAACAGAATTCAATACATCTATTATCCTACAAAATACTTATTTATATATTTTACAATATTAAAATTAACATTAGTATATATGATTACAGACTAACTTTAAAGTTTTATTTATGTGGCCTCTGTTACTGGTGCTGTCCATAATACATTGCACTTGTTAAACACTAATAAAAATAAACATTGCTTTAAGTTAATTGAAAGCAACCACTGCATTTTTCACACAAAAGTTACTTTTATAATTTAAATGACTGGTTTATATTGGAAAGGGACTAGTGTAATTTAAGGATGAACTTTTCCTACACATCTATCAAAAGCTACTAGCCATAAATTCTAATGACTACAGAAGAAATGTAGCTAATATTGTTCAAGGATGCTAGTTACTACAGAAAATATTTTAAATGCTTGGTTAAATGAGTCCTGTTTATAGATTAGAACAAGGTGTAATGCAAACCATTTGTTAATTCAACCATAAATTTTAAGAGGAACTATAAGAAAATCAGCTATTAAAATGTGACCAGCTTTATTAAACCTGCCAATTCAGCATATTTTAACTTCCACTTCCTAAAAATCATTTTCAACTACTTAATCTTCAAAAGGAAAGTAGCTAATTTGACACTACCACGTCCTAACTTTTTTTTTGGAGGGGGGGTTACCTCAAATTATAATATCAAAATTTATCTTTCTAACAGAAGGATGTCCAGTGCTTTTAAAAACAAATAAACACTGTAATAGGGAAGTTACAAAATTATTCACAGTATTAAAACAAAAATGATGATACTACATCAGTTCAAATAATATGAAAATTTTGTTCTTCTGTTTAACCACGTCTGCCTGTATATTTGTAATAAACAAACTCCACTTTTCATATTAACTAAAAATTATGTTTCTGTACACTTTTGAATCACATTAAAAAAACAAAAAATCATCGTTACCAAACTTTTGCTAAAATTCATTTTTAATTATCACTAGCTTGATACAAGCTAACTGAAATTGGAAAATTAAGCTTAAAACAATCAAAAACTGAAACTTATTGTGAAAAGTGACATACATATAAAGCAAGTTTGTTAACATGACTATGCATTATATATACCTCTATTTCAGCAGAGAATACTTTTACAAAAAATGTGTGATTGTATTATTTTTTGTAAGAAAAATTTCTGGACGTTTCTCTTATTGGCTAGCAATGATTTATTACAATGTTTTAGTTGTATCGGAATTGGTAATGAAGATGCATCAAGTGTAAGATATTCACTCATACTGAAGAACACATGCATGCACACACACACACACACAGAGAAAAGCATACAGATGGGGTTACACACACAGTCACCCACCCACCCACCCTTTTTCATACGCGATCAATTATAAGAAAAAAAAAACAATAATGTATTACATCACAGCCTAAAAAAAATATCACTTCTGACCAGCATAATGGTGCACCAGCACCTAAAAACTTTATAAATGAGCATTACTGTGAGGTCATCTAGAAACAGCTCATCATTATCTGGAAGAATTAAGTACAGTACTTCAACCAAATATCACCAATACAAATAGCTCTCAAACCTTTAGCTAAGACATGATTTTACACATTTTTAACAAATAAAACCTACCTATTCCTTCTCCTGCTAAAAGTATTACATCAATTTAAAATTACTACTCTCAGACTGGTTATGCAAAAGCTCGTTTAAAATTATATTTTGGCAGCATGAATAAAATTTAACTTCCATCACATTAACTCTGGTAAAGCATATTCTACAATTAAAAAAAACTAATAGTTTTTTGTAAAAAGTATCTTGTACAGTAAAAATGATTGTACGTAAGAGGTACACCTGTACCATCTGAAATAAATTTTTCACTATGCTGAGAACACTGGTTAGAAGTTCAATGATTAGTTCTATGATAGTAAAACCTCTTTATCATGCACGATTGACTTTGTCCAAATACAATCTCAAAGTTCAAACACTGCCCAAACATTTTGATCATCATACAACTCCCACCTATTTTAATGTAGTTTTAGGCTTTCCATTATTATTGAACTTCAAGAATAATGCTACTAATATTACAGCTTAAATTTTAAAAAACTACGCTGAAAATACACTCACAGCTGCTCTTATCCTTCATTTATATCACCAACTAATATGATTTCTCTTTGGGGTACTGGCTTTGGAATACACGCAAGTGTTGGTTTTAGTTGAACTTCTGAAGAAGAAACTTATTATACTCACTTATAACAAATTAATTTACAGCTATTATAACTCACAACCTACACTCACCTTGAGGAGTGAAGAGCTTGTGACAAGTTTTGTACCCACTTTTAAGTGCTACTTTATCACATGTACATAATATACTGCTGAAGGCTCATTTACCTGCCCTCCAACTATTTAATTACCTAACTCCCCAGAATAAAATATTTAACTGAGTTGAGCAAACCTCCCTTACCCACTTTGCTCCCCCTCCCCAAAAAATGTGCTAATGGGGAACAAGACAGGAACATAAGGCACTTGACGTCAACACGTAGACAGCACATGTAGACAAAATGAAGTGGGGGTGAGGCTATCATGACAAGAATGAGGCTACAAACAAACACTTTCTGAGGAACTGTAGCTTAGGTTTCTATTACATTCTTTCTTGAATGGCTGGACTTTCCACGACTAATAATTTTCTTAACATCTAAATATTTAATAGATCATATTTGAAATAATTACTAAAAGTAAATATTTAATATCCTAGCCCTCTCTCTCTAGATATATATATATATATATATATATATATATTCTCCTGGGGAGAAGGACTCAACCACAGCTTTGTTCCTCAGAATATGTGATTCTTACTTGCTAACTTAAACCTATTTTAGTATGGACTTACAACAAAAACTTAACTACTAGTGTTGAGAACCTGCTTTCAAGCCTAGAGACAGCCACTTAGCAGATTCTATTGCAATAATTAACTATAAAATTACCTAATCAAGACTAATCCACAGAGGATATCTGGCATGTCATACCACACCCCAAAATAAGAACTTCCTAAAAACTAAACGGCTGTCATTGAAGTGTTATATTCTTGTAGATTACCTATAAATATACACAACAAAGCAATTTCTTAACCTAACATCCCATCCCTCTTCCCATTGATGCCCTGCCCCTTCCCCTAGCATGAAGAATTGTCCCCTACCCCAATGGGGTTCGCTAATTATGTTCTGTTCTCCTGATACTTTCAATGGTTTAGTAGAAAGTCCTAGTAAAGGAAGAAAAAAAAACAAAATATCAAGATTAAATGCATGTAAACTGATATATCACATTACTCTTCATCACATGTGAATTGACTTAAAATTTTAATAATATAAACATACAACACCACTAAATTACTAGTAAATATTAGGTATCAGAAATAACAAAACAGAAATCCATACTGTGATGGGCTCATATTGCAAAAATTTCAACTGCTTGATGAATGTAATCATTTTTTCTATAACCAACTACAGAAATACAGGATACAACAGAGAAAAATGATATGGTACAAGGTTTGTGTTGTACTCATGATGATATAACCATCTTTTTGAAATAACACACTCTTGAACTTCAAAACGATTTTTTCTGTTCGGAACTATATCTCATCTTTCCAATGGGAGGTGGAGATACAGAAGAACATCACACTAAAAAAAATAACTTGCAGCAAAAGGAAAGACTACGAGTATTGACATTTTATCAAGTTATTACAGTAGTACAGTACCTATTGTACAACTGACCAGTTTGTATCAGACAACAATCTTTTAACAAAAAAGGCTTTACCTCAGACACCATAATTAGCTAGCAGTCGTTCTTTCAAAGGAGCTGGAAGTTGTTCAGAAAACCGCTTCCAGTTAGCTTCACCAACCTGGTTTTTAAATCCATGAAAAATCTAAAAAAGTGAAGATACACATTGTACTGATTACTGTCTAATGTAAAAACTATCTACATTGTAAGCAAATGTTAGAGTTCTAAACATCACAACTGCATCTAGCTTCTTAACCCTAAACAAATTTCAAATTCCAAAACATTCACAACCTTCAATACAAAAAATGTATATATTAATCAATAATCATAATTTTATTTCATTAAACCTTGGCAAAATGTGAGCTAGGGGTCCATGGATATTTTAGATTCAGCTATTATTGTTGAACTTAAAGAGCACCACGAACAGTTATTTAAAAAAAAATATCTTATTACTTGAAAGACATACCTCATAGAACATCTGCTTAAGGTCTGCCTTGGGATTAACCCATGATGCCACTGCATCACAGAAAAAGATGAAGTCCTGCACTACACCTCCAGGATTAACTCCAATCATGCTACAAATTCCTCGGAAGGCAGAATCTTTCTCTTCATTGTCCCGAATGTTACGAAGAGAAGCACACCTTAAATTACAGGGAAAAAATATTTTAAGAAGCTCCTTAAAATGTGTTTACATAAGAATGAGTTATACAGATAAAATATACATTTTAAAAAAATTTTAAAATTCTCAAATACCTTAACCCTTAAGTTACCAAACTGGTCTAGTGGGCCCACCTATTTAGGTATCATTTTGTAGTTAAATCTATGCATTATAGCAAAAATTTGAATTCAGGAATGATAATTAATATTTTCCCATACTTCTGATGAAAGTATTTCATTATATAAATAATTTTTGAAGTCCTACCCATTTTGTACTCTGCTAAACAGCAACATTTAATTAAAAAGGACAAAAAATCTGTCTGTTACTTAGCATAAAATGTGTAGAAAGGAAGAAATCTTTTAAAATAAACCTTATGTTCAAAACCTTGTAGCAGTGATGTTTGAAATAAACACCTGAAGTGCAAAGAAAATTAAATTTACACACAATCTCTTCTGTAGTCTTTTATCATCTTTGGATTGTGTGGATGGGTATATATATGCCCATTAATTTTTATACCTTAATTCAGCATCCTTGGTGCTTTTCAAAGTACTAGTCATATCACAATGTGTACTAAATCCTAAGGCATGAGAAGAAACCAGTACAGTCAAACTTCTGAAGCCAATAAAAAATTATGGCTACAGGATTACTACCAGTAACCACATTATTCATTTCTAAGATTAACTGTTAAGTGTATCAATTATTTCATGAATTAAATGTGTATACCCTATTTACATAGAAATATTGTGTCATGTTTTCTCTTCACATAATTTCAAACAACAAAACCTCATTTTCATTACATTTAAGAGTTTCTATTTTAACCATTTCACAAGAGTTAAATGATGCTTGTTGTTTTTTTTGGAAACCAGTGTATCTAGCCCACAAGTGCTTGGATCAAAAGTCTACAGTATCCCATTGCTGATGACAATCCTACACTAAAAAAGCATTTTATTATTAAAAGTTATGGTATAAATGTCAAAAGTTAATGAAGCATTAGAAGCCAATTGGCCCAATATTTATGTTAATCATTGAAGGGAAAGTAGAAAAAAAAAATCCAAAGTTTGTGTTTTCTATTTTATTATTACCTCTAATGAGCAACACTCAGGTACAGTAATCTTAATCCCACTGCTAGCAAAATTGCACTGCAAATGCCAGATGGTAAAAGTCTAGCCAACTGGACCACATGCTAGTTGCCATCCCCATTTCCTGATATTTAGCCTTGGTATGTCATGCAGCTCAAATTGGTGTCACAAAACCAGCATGGCACCAGTAAGTGGAACAATCTTATATTATCCTTCTCTACCCAGAATCTTGACTGATACTTGACAATAAGAATCTGCAGATCTTCCTTCTGAAATGTAAACTAGCAAAACTGCAACACCAACCAAAAATATCCTTGTTTGTCTGTATTAATTTTGATACATGAACAAGTTGCTTTCATGTACAGCATTCTAAGAGAGGGTTCATTTTATTTCATAAACATTTACTAGCACATCATAAAAGTTTTAGTAATGGTATCCAAATGTAGTTTACCATTTAACAGAACCTGAGTTTGCGCCAAATAGTTTAAAGAATGTCTTTTTCTAAACAGTGACTTGTAGGGACAATATCCTTAGGAAAGGCAGAGTTCTTTCCGAGGACAGATTTCCATCAATTGAAAAAAAATTAAATTTGTAAAATAAAAAATTCGACTTCATTTAATTTCAATACCCAAAACCATTGGACGGACTTTGGAATATTCAGACGAACATTTACCGATATGCAACTTCAGAAAAACTGTGACAATTGTAGAGCAGCATTAAAGATATAGTTGATTGGTAGTTTTCTGAAGTAAAGGATGCATTACATCATAGCAGATGTGTTGTTGTAGTTGAACATGCGAGATTTTCATAAGTGTTTTATGCACAATTAACATGTCAATTTAGCAATGATCCCTTCAAAGTAATTCCTGTACACAGTCATGAAAGTAATAAAACTCGATCTAGATCAATGTTCACTTTATTTTGTCAGTAATAGGCTTAAAAATGTGAATGACTTAGTCTATAACAACGTAACTTAGTTGTAAGTCATAAAACTAAACAATCTAAAGTTAGTTTTAACAACAACGTCATTGTAAGCATGCTTAGTAAGCCTGTAAGGTCTTAATGCCTAACCCAAAAGTCCTAGACTAGATCTAATAGTATTTTAATATAAATCTACATCAAAATTCCATTATTTCCGTAGTGCCCAGTGGTAATTTTAACTTAGTAACTGGAACATTGTGACTGTAATAAGTCTGTGTTACTTGCAAAAAGGGTAGTTGGCTGAGGCAATGAAAATCTGCCAGTTGGTTTTAGAATAAAGAATACTGGAAGCCTGAGATCTTGAGTCTCAATTCTGTTTATTACATCTCATGAGCCAAAGTATTGTTTCATGGATAACTTAGCTGATATTCATGATATTTTAACAACACATTTCTCTGAGCAATAGGCTCCAGATAATGGCTCTGACTGCATTTCTGTGTTAAGCTGTTCACTTCCAGGGGACAAAACCCTAACCAGGGATATTAATGGAGCCTAGGTGACTTCCATACACCCAACCTATTTTGAGAGCACCTGTGGCACTCACCTCCCCTATATCTCCTCCCTGAGTGTTTTTAGTCAATTCAACTCCTCTCTGCTGCCATCCCTATCCTTGTAAAATATTATCAATTACAAATATGCTCATTTTCTACCAAACAAGTGAGCAATAAGCATTATAGCTAACTTGACAGAGAAAAACAAGAAGTTGTTTCATTAACCACTCAAGACACGCTAATGGTACAGAACACATACACACCTTCTTTGGAAAGCAGAATTTATACCAAATTTTCCCTTGCTAGTGCTTTACCATCATCCTTAAACAATTACAGGGAAGAAATTTTAAAATTTGCCAATTTGATTTAAGCAGAGAACTATTTCTTTATGCCTCTATAGACTGGATCATAAAATATTCCCCTAAGCTAACATTTAGAAAAATTACCTTATATTTATGACTTGAGCTCTGTGTAAATTTAATTATTTCTTTATACACAAGCCTACAAATATAATTAAGCATAATTTGCTTCAAGAAAATGTTTGGAGGGTCTCAATTTTTTTTAAAGAAAATAACATCAACAAGAACAGAAAGAACAACTTTGATAAGCTGTTATATGACAGTACTTGAGAAGACGGGATTCTGAATTATTTTAGCCATAAAAATATTATTAATTTTTATTATTGACACACCTTTATAAGACTTTATATATGAACATATATACAGAAACACACAAGTTTTTCTTTTAAACATTAAAAATTATAATTGTTGAATACCTCTGACATAAATTCACTTAACTAGTTAGATTGCTCTACTACTAAGGAAAGGGTTATTTGTTTCTCATTATTTTTTATTCAAGATAACTTTACTTCATAATATGTTCAAGATTATTTATGTCAGTTACTCACAGTGATAGAAGATTTATAATGGTACACATATTTCAATTAAAGAACATTTGACATTGGTCAAATTACATCTTTCAAGTTGTACAACCCAAAAATGATCAAACATTTATGCTAAGACTTGAAAGGAAATCTAACACTCATATGTATAAGTTAATGAATTTTCAAATTTATTTGCCTAACATCAAAACTATCTGAAAATCATAAAATTTTTTAGATTAACTTGCCATTAGTATTTTTTTCTTGTCTCTGCCATATGTTCAAACAATCCCTGATTTAAGTCACTTTTTAAAATCAAACTAAATTACTGACAGAGATCTAACCTTATGTCTTGTATAAGGTTCCTTAGGAGTTGATTTATGACAGCATCTTCCAGTAATTAAAAACAATAACCAGATAGACCAGTGTAACCAATTTTGAAAAATTAAGTTATATTCAATTATGTATGTGCAAAATAGGTGAACTCCAATAATGACTTAACAATTAAATTTCAAAATCCACTAAATAAAATTATTCATGTGTTCTTCAATAATTGAGTTTGACATTCTTCAAAATACTTGCTTTCATATTTGAAACTCCTGATTTTTCTGGGCAGGTTTGAACCTGCTTACATTTGAACTTTTCTATTTACTGTGTATTCACCAGATCATCTAGTAGTGAATTATTTTTGTACACCAAAAAATCAATTATCCAAATTTCAGAACTATTATTTTAAGGTATATTAAATAAGCTGTGTGTGTTAAACTCAAGTCAATACTTTTTCAATCAGTTTTTCTTTCATCTTACCCTCCCTCCATCTGTTCACCATTCATAATTTTTGAACAAGATGCTTTTTCTATGTGTGAGTGATGTATCATTTCCTGCACATAGGGTTATTTATATCTATCCAATAAGGATGAAAAGTAACATACAATTTAATGACCAAAATGGGTTAAGTATCACAAAATCCATACTAACCTTACCAGTTCTTTTCTATATAGATACATCTTGAAGCATTTAAACAAAATCTATAATTTTGCCCTCTCACTAGCTTTTACCTTTTTTTATTTATTGTCAAATAATTTCACTGTGTAGAACATCTTTAGTGAATTGTTGAAATTGACTCTATTTATAAAAGACTTGGGCAATTTCAAATACAATGTTCTGCCTAACAGAACTGGTTTAACATCTTAATCACCTTTGTACTTGGTAGCAAAAACAAAATTGTTTGTATGAATATCTTTTACCTTGTGGACAAATGAATGATGGAATCTGAGTAAATAACACTGAGTAGAGCTTCACTCAGAATATACTTCATTACTATAAACTCTAACTTTGTATAGGTCCCACCACTTTTCAAAATAAATACTTTAAATACACTCAAATGAAATATAGGAAACAAAACTTTAGGGTATTGTTAAAAATTAAAACAGGAAAAACAACAACTAAAAAACACACATTAACAAGAGAAAATGTGAGTTACAAAACCAAAACTATAATATGCAATTAGTTGAACATTAGGTACAGGACTGCACTACAGAGAAAGCCAAAAAATATCTAGAAAACAAACTATTAACATAATACTGAACATTCCATTTAAACTCTAAATTTTTTTAATTATTGAAAAAAAAAGAAAAAAATTTGTCTGAATGTTTGAAAAAGAATAAATAAAAAAACATTACACACCACGGGCGTATAAACTGCTGTAACATAGGGGCGACTTCTTCGGGACATACGTAACCAAGGCGGCCAATTGTTATGGCTACGTTACCAGGAAGACGGAACAAGACGAAGACGGTAAGCAAAAAATGGGAGAAAAAAGCAAATGACAACTCATAAACAAATACAAGAAAAATTATGAGCCTTAAAAACATTGAAAAGGTTATTAAAGAGAAAAACTGAATAGAATAAAAAACCTGCAGTGGCTTCACCCTCACAATTTTTCTTAAAGACTTATATCTGATATGCAGAGATTCTTGTAAGTGCGTAATACTGGATGAACTATGGGTAAAGAACAACAACTTGAGTAAAAATGTTAATAAAACAATCCACTAATAGACACATTCATATATCCTCAGGTGCACAAACTTGTTACAGCTGAAAGTTATATTAGTATATTTAGGTCACAAATGCAAGATTAAAAAATTTTAGTATTTAATATTAACAAATATACATTCCAATTAAGAAATAGTTTCCTCACTCATTCATGACTAAAAGTTTTAAATTCTTATTCAGATTTTCCAAAAAATTTACTTATTTGCTTTTATTCCCAACTTTCATCTTTCTTGTGTAAACTGGAAGTTTAATATCAGATATTACATGAAAAAGCCAATAAGTGAAAAGGGACAGGATTTCAACCCAGGACATCTGGCTAACAATAACCAGTAGTCTACCAACTGAGCTATCCAAACATACAAGTCATCCTCGTCAATGTTCACTTATAAGGCTTCATACTATAAGTATGATTACCATAATACATTGTGATCAGCACTTAACAAAATGATTTACCACCACCCAAACAAATTATACAGATTCTCTGACAAATTATTTTTTAAAGCACTGTATATTCTAAAAACATGCAAAAAAAAGAAACTAAAAAAAAGTGTTAAGTTACACTTAAGAAGGAAAGAAAGAAAACAGCATGTAAGTTTAAAAACTAAGCACTTCTACCAGATACTACAAAGGCAATTAAAACATTTTAATACTACTCAAGCATTACTACTTGTAACAACAATAAAACAAAAAACAAACATTTTAATACCCTTTAAATAACCATGTTCTTAACCCTAAAATTGGGAGTCAAGTGTACAGAGATTAGTGGATGTTTTGGTAGTCACAACAGCCAGCAAATGACAAAAGGCATTTAACCCTTTAAGTATAGACCTGGCTCTTCAGAGAGTTACATTCAAAATTTAAACAACCTTATTATCAATATATGTCAACAAAATTAGCATCTGAACATAGTTTATAATTCAACTTTTTATGTTATTCAAGTTTTATTATTTTCAAAATAAAATATTTAAAGAATTCTCAACCTTCACTTGTTATCAGGTGATGCATGTAAGCTCTCAATACTTCCCCTTTTAGTTTGTATAACTTCAATAATACAGCAACTACACTGTCTAAGTAATATATACACAATGTAAAAGTAATTACAAGGTCATATGTACAATTCAATTTCCTTACTTCCCTGTTTGCCTAGATATAACTTTTCCCAACCCACAACAGAAGCCATTTTTATCTGTCCTTAACTTTCAAGGCTCTTTTCAGAAACCATGTCTCCTTAATTGATGTATATATATTTATAACCAATAGAAAGTGCTTATTATATATTATAATCTTGCAAATAACTGTTCTTTTGAATTTGGCAGCAACAGATATTAGTCCAGAGGAAGTGTTTGGTCTGTGTGTAAGTAAAGCTTATGCTCATAGCATTAAAATAGCATTTTAAATTATAATTTATAGCTTAATTATAAAGCCAGATAACTTAGTTGTTTTTGGACAAACTGTTTTAATGATTTATGTATTATGTTTTAAAATGATTACTTGAAAGACATGAATTTTTGTTTAAACAATGAAAAACATGGGCTTAGCAAGCTAGTGTTCAAGTACAGAATTTCATGATATTTAGGTGTATGGGAATTTGTTGAGGTGTTTCTATTGTGATATGTTGTTTTTCATGGATGAATAAACTGTGTTGTACATGCCAGGCAATAAAAGTATAAATTAAACTAAATGTGGAAAGGTAAGCAGCTGAAACTGTGAGTAAAGGAAATTTGAAAAATTCTCCCAAAATGATGTTTATAAAGAAAAAAAGGTGTTATTCATTTTACTTCATAATTTTCAAAATTTCATTTTACTTTGTACTGATGAGTTAGTTAGTTATAATGTTATGGTTGATAACAAATAGCAAATAAAATATAAAGTTTTACCTAAAAAAAACTTGATATTTATTTAGGAGGTTCTAAAAGTTATGCAAATGAAATATTAGAACTCTAAGATGAAAAGAAATATTTTTAATCTTAGCATAAAAATCTGATTGACCCAGTTAAAGACCTCGAAAATTCACTGTAAAAATTAATTTTTTTTTGGCAACAAAAGACTTAATTAAAATGTTTACTAAAAGCTTGTCAAATTTTGTGAAGATACTTCAGTTCTAGCATACACAGCTACACGATTATCAAGGTTATGTAAAATGACTAACCCATATGCAAAGGGTTAAATTGCTTTTTGACAATAACTTTGTATTAGAATTTTTGAGCTCATCAGTTCACCTCTTACAGAGAAACCTGTTGAAAATGAAGCCCCCACCTATTTTCAGTGCTAAACTAGTAGATATATACTGGAGAATGTTTGCAGTCACAATCTTGAAGTTAAATTGACCAGAAAGAGGTTGCTCAAAAATGTTAGAATCCAATCAAAATAGGACAAGAAAACTGCAAAGCAAAAGAAATAGTAAGAATAAACTACTTTAATTAATTAAAAATATAATAATGGCAACTTTTACAGTAGGCAAGTTAAGATTTTAATACAATGTTTCGACCCATAGTATTCAGTCATCAAGTAAGATTATGACTCAATACCACGAGTCAAAATCTTGTAATTATTAAAATCAAACTGCCTACTACAAAAGTTGTTGTTATTTTATTTTTGATTAATTATTCAGTTCAGCAGGTGATTGACAGACTTAAATATGACTGATCATATTCAAATTACAATGGTATTTGGGTTTAAAAATCTGCGGTGTTCAAGAATCAGTAAAATCTTCTTCACCCCAAACCTCAACTAACCAGTTTCACTACATACTTCATAACAAATTGAACCCCAAAAACGTTACAAAGTTTTGTATCAGACACTGGTCTACTGCAATTTCCCTTCTTGAAAGTTACTGAAACATGGCAATTTCTGTACTATCAACTCACAATTTTAGGATTAAAGATCTGTTATTATGAGGTACATCATATATGTATACACATTTGCTTTAGAATTCTTTGATTATAGTGCTTTTACATGTCAGTAGAATAATGTCTGGTGAATGAGAAGGTTAACATTTTATAAATGTCAATGGTTATAAAAATAGTTACAAAATTTTATCAGAAGGCCTAAAAAATAAAATAAAAAAATCTGGAATATAGAGCAATATTTTTTAAAACTTTACTCATCGTTATTTAACTGCATATAATAAAATATTGAATTCTTTACAAAATGGAATGTTATCAATCTTCAATTTTTTTTACCAACATATGAACCCAATACAACCAAAAATACAAAACAAAAGCAAGCATTAATACCAGTCACAACAGTATTGCAATTATTTTTATAAATCTCCTGAATTCGTTTAAATATGTATGTTCACCTATGTCATATATTTTAAACATTTATGGTTAATGTATATCATATAACAAAATTATGTGATTAGCATGGCTTAACTATTTTTAAACTTTTCATTTCGAAGACAGCACCAACTAGGAAATATTTCACATAATAATGCTTTTACGAGCTGCTAGAATTTTTAGGTAAAATAACAAACAAGATTTTAGCACTAACTTATACATATTTCTTCAATTTTTAATAATACAACTAAACACATACCTGTATTTTCTAACAATGTTTTTGGTGTGTTTGGTTTATTGATGATCACAACCAACTGATTCAATACCATTGGAACATATGGCTTCATTTCAGAACCTACAACAACAAATACTGAATGAAACATATAGTGTGTTAAAATTTTCACAATTCCATTGATTTATAATGTTTAAAAAAGGCCTCACTCTTTAGCCCAACAGCTTTTAGAAGATAATGCAGTAAACAAATGAATGGTGGGGTTTTGTGACATTGCCATTATGTCGCTATTACAATACCCAGCATTATATGCATATCCACTTATTTATGTACCCATACAGTTTTGTTAAACGTAGTGTTTCGTGTTGCAGGGTTATATTCTAATGAGTACTGTTTAAGAAAAGGTGGCGTGCATTCTGTGGTTAGCTGAGCTGAAGTCGATGAAGTTGGTCCAACAACAATTTAGAAGAGAGTACAGCAAAGATCCACCACATGAAAACAACATATGAAGGTAGTTCAAGATTGTTTGCAGGGCTTTGAATGTCAGATTCTCCAACCAATGAATCATAAGAAACAGGCCAATTGTGTGGCCCCCAAGGAGTCCCGACCTCATGCCTCTTGACTTCTTTCTGTGGAGCCATGTGAAGAATACTGTGTCCAGTGAAAAGATTGCTGATTTGGCTCACTTACAACAAAGCATCACTAGAGCAATTGAAAGTGTTACACCAGATTTTTTGACCGAGTATGTACAGAAATTGATTTTCAATATGATGTGTGCCACGCTGTTAATGGTGCACACACTGAAGTTGTGTAATACCATTTTAAAAACCTTCTGAAATGGATAAAACTCCATTTACAAAAACTTTTGAAGTTGGTGAATCAAATAAACAGAAGTTCAATGTACAGTTAGAATCTGTTTTTTTTTTACCAATCTGTTTATAAAACCCCATCATTCATTTGTGTACACCCTGTATTTTGAATTGTGCTTTATGCTTTTAACTCTCTCGCATTGATGTTGTTCGAATCAACAACCTCGTAACCTCTTTTGTACTTGTTACAGTTTCCACACTTTAACTATTAATGCACATTATGTATCTTCAAAAAATTTGGCAGACTTTTAGTAAACATTACAAGACTTTTGTACACAAAAAATCAAATTTTAACGAATAACTTTTACTAAAGATTTGTCCATGAATATATGTAGTTTTTCTATATACTAGTCTAAGTGATTTCTGCATTAAGATAAAAATATTTTTCTCCGTCTCTAAAATCTCAAAATTTATTTGCTTAATCTCTCAAACTTCCTAAATAAATTTCAAACATTTTCTGTTCAGTAAAACTTTATATTTTATCTGTTATTTTCTCTAACCTAACTTTATAAAAGATTGTTCAATTTGATTGACCTCATAACAACCAAAAAATAAATCTAAATTACTCTTTTTTCTTTATAGAATGACTTCAAATTGTAATATGAAACTACATTTGTTTATCCTATATAGCTTTAATGTCATAACAGTATACATCTATTTATACTTAAATTTTATTGTTTTATTGCCCTTTGAACCCTGTCAAATTGCTATTCACACCATTATAAGTTGTAAATCACTCGGAGAACGTGCAGCTCAAATTACATTACACACGAGATACTTGCAAGCTGTTCATGAACATACCTCGTGAAAATTTTTTATTATATTATTATTATTATTTATTTCACCTCATCTAACCTTAAATAACATAACAAGTTTCCTATTTTTACATTTTAGTTACATTTATAATAACAAATAAAGAATACACATGAAAAACAAGAAAAAAAGTACTTATCTGGGTCTTCTTTTTTTTGCTGTCAACTATTGATGACATTTAACTCTACATTATTTTTTTATATTGATGGTAGTACTGCACTAGATAATGTTTTATTTAATTAAATAATGAACCAGAAAACACAGAATAATAATGGGCAAAAAGCAGACAATGTGCAATAATTATCACAATTTTTATGGCTTTCTAACTGCGACAAGAGCCATTAGGAATTCAGTTAAGCTCATCCACAAGTTTCCCATGGGAATCAAGCTTGAACTGGAGGAGAACTGACAATTCCCTGTACAGAAAACAACATAATATAATATGTAATTTCACAGATGGAAACCTTGACTTTCTGTTGTTTATAAATTATATTGTATTGATTGTAAGAGAGAACCAATGGATATGACAGGTGGGCACGGCAGAAGGGATCTGGTTGTCTATTTCATGGCTCTGTAACCAAATACAGTTGAAGGCTATGAAAATTATACTTTGCCTGAGTGATGATGATATTATAATTAGTAATTTATGTTAAATTTTGTACATCTTGGAGAGTTGGTAAATAAATTAGAGAAGAGGGGATGCCTAGAGAGCAAATGTCACAATTCTCACCTAGGGGAAATTCTAGATTTTTTTTTTAAATACTGCCTTATAAAAGTAAGAGCTTAAAACTTATATACTATTAAAATATGGATTATTAGCTACATTTTTATGCTCTGTTTATTAGTATACCATGAAAAGAAAGTAGCTTAATTAAATTTTGAATGTAATACACTAAAACCTCATGACATGCACAGAGAAAGATGCCCGTGGAGACAGGGATAAACAGTTCCGTATTTGATGTGTCTTGCAACCATATTTAACCCATTAAATAAAAAAGAAGTTTAGGTTAAATAAAGTACACAAATATAAGTTAGTAATAGGTATAAAAATATAAATTGTCTTCTTGAAATCTCCTACAAAATTCTGGAAACTATAGCTAATTAAAACACAATACACTTAGGCATAAATAATCCAATTGTTTCCTAAATCAAAAAACTCCACAGATAATAATCTTAATAAAGAGAAACTGAAAATTTCACAAAAGATATCAGTAATTTCAAACGTTTTGAGATGAATAAAAGATTACTTTTCCCCTTCCCTTAAAAATTAGTAAATCATCCAACTGCTTTTCAATGTCTTTATATTGTTCCTGTTATTTCTTAAAGTCTGTGGAAGAGTATGTAATGCTTATACCTAATGTTTCCCATACAACTATTTTAATTATAAACTTAGCTATCAGTGTGCTTTGACATTAAATCAAAACTTGAACATGAATAATAAAAACCGAGTTCTCTGCATCACTTAAATGAAACAAGATTAACATTTATCATTTATGAATCATTGGATATATTACATCCAGTGGTAACTTACAGCTTATTTTATCTTAATTTTAAAGAAGATAAATGATACACTCACATGACTTACCAAGTTTCACAGATATTTCACCAATGGCCCAGGTAGCATTGTTACAGACAGAAATAAACTCTGGGTTCAAATTCTGGCCAAGGATAGGCACAAAGTCGGCTAAAAAAAAAAAAATCAAATGATTTAATTTCATTTTACATATTTTACTGAATACAACAATGAAATTGCTTGTAATTTGTCAACCCATTATGACAAATTTCACCAAAGACAGTTTGGGCATAATTATCATACAAGTTATATCTATATACATACATATACAGTATATACTGAAAATGTCTCAGAAAACCTCAATTGCTCCTGTAGTTTTGATTTGTTGAATCTATAAAATAAAACCATTGCAGTTTAAAATGCTACAGACTTAATTAATTTTAAGAGAAATATGACACATATAACCACATATGACTAAATGCAGAAGATTTTTTAAAACTCTTCAAGATGTCTGATCTAATTACTATCACACACTGCCTTTAGTTTCTGTTCCAGTAATCACTATCAAAAATTTGAGATATTTCACCAAAAACAAAAATTTCTAATGCAGGTACATGTGTATATAAAGGATTTTTTTTTCAAAAAACATTTTTAGTACAGTGTACATAATGAGATGTTACCATGAAAATACTATAGTGAAGATAATTAAAATGCCCTTTACATGATGGTGGTTGTAGTTTAAGAAAAATGCAACAGACCTTAGTTGTTCCAGTACTATGTAGTACACAGTAGACAGACGAGGAAACCCCAGCCTATGACATCAGACAAGAGGACAGAAAAACAAAAGCTCATTGAATAATATACACCTAAAAATTGTTTCCCTGAAAAACCCACAGTTTGAATAAGCAGTCTCCAGAATGCTGCAGAAATGTGGCCTTTGGGGAAGAGTATCAGCAAGAAAGCCCTTACTGTGCAAAAAGAATACCTTTTGGAAAAGAACATGTATCCTGATTTTGGAATGACACAAGGTGCCTTGGACAGATGAGTCTACACCTGAACTGCTTGGTTCCAACCAGCATGTATATGTTCACCAAAGAGTCAATGTTATTCTGTAAAAGAAGCACCTTGTCAACAATCAAGTATGAAGGAGGTTCTGTGGTTGTTTGGGGTGCAATATCTGCAAATGGTGTTGGCTATCTTCAAAAAACTGATGGAACATAGATAAGCATAAATACTATAGTATATTAGTCATAATGTTATTCCCTCTAGAAAAAAACTGATTGAACCAAATTTCATATTCTGAGAAGATAATGATTCCAAGCACACTTCCAAGAAATCTTGATCATACTTGGCAAAGAAAAGCAAGCTCTGGATACCTCCAGAATTTAGCTCCATAAAACAAATCGTACCATTAATGTACTGCATGGAAAAGTACAAACTGTACTAAACAAATACTATGGAAACAGCTTCAAGAAAAAATAATCAAATACACAGGATACTTTGAGAAAACACAGACACAATGCCAAAAAGATACCAGGCTGTCAGTGATGCCAAAGATTGCCACACAAAACATTAGCATCAAAGAAACTTAAACACTACTTGTGTACTAATTTTGTACTAGTTTCTGTAACATAAATTTTCAATAATTACAAGCTAATTCCTTTAGCAAATCATTGACTACTTTATATGTAGAGCTCATAAAATGACAATCATTGAGGTGTTCTAATAAACTTGCATTATTGTAAATATAAGATTTCTCACTTTTTACTGCAAATGATTATGTGTGAATAAAAACCATTAGCTACTATTTTGATTGTGAATTACAGGGTCAGACAGTACGAATACTTTATGCTTACATGAAACATTTCAAATTCAAATAAATGTCATAATTTCCCATCGCAACTTCATAAATTGCACATTTTCTTTAATTACTTAAAGACACCAACTCCCCCCCCCCTTTTTTTTTCACTAACAACATGACAAAAAACAGCATTCCTTTTTTACTGGCATCTGTTTTATCAGTAACAAAAACAATCTATAGATCTTTAAGTAAAAGTATGTCATACATTACATTTTAATGTCAATACACTACTGACACTTAAATGTGTCAAGTAGAAGCAAAAAACTTTCATGACTGAGAAAAGAAACAAGCATAAACTTACAGATACATGGATTTACATGTTGAAAACATGCTTTGCTGAGATCACCAAGAAGAGCAAAGGAGCTTTGCCTTACTTCGGGTATTGGATCCTGTATGTAAAAAAACAATGTGTAATTCAAGACAAATAAAACTGCAAATAAAAATTAATTAAAAATGTTTTTATTCAATGCAGATATTTGTTTAATACTATCATAACCAGTGTGTGAATTTCAGGCATTTTCTGCAAACCTGCATATCAAATTTTGATATTTAAATTCTATTTCAACAAATTTTTACTTAAATATGTATCAGAATGATATTTTAGAATAATGTAATATTTACTTAGTATATATATCACAAATAAAATAATGTTTCAACATCATCATGCAGCTCTGTAGTCTCACCTATAAATAATGCATTTACAACTTTTTTTTTACTTATTCATCTTTAGGTTTTACTTGATAAAATACTAACTGTTAGAAATATATTGATCCCTATCTTGATTTTCCACATCATATAGCATCTAATTATTTTGTGTGTGTGTGTGTGTGCAACAGATGGATGGAGTGGGGGTTAAACAGTCCTAATACAAATCAGCTTAATCATTTATAAAGTGCAGACCTGGCTCTTTTGTGCATATCCAGATACCTTAGTTTACATTTCAAATTGAAACAATTTTATTATCAATGTAGGTCAACAAAGTTAAAATCCAAACAGTTTATAATTCAAGTTTTTATATGCCTAAGTTTAAATTCCTTAACTTCAAAATAAAGCACTAAAAAAATTCTCAATCTTTACTCTTCTTTTCACATGATGGGCATGCACTCTCAATTCTTCCCCCTTTTAAGTTGTATAATTTTAACAGTACAGCACATAGACTGTCTAAATAATATTAACACTATTTATAAATAATGAAAGGGTCAAATGTACAATTTCAACATCTTAACTTCTCCATTTGCTGAGATATCGATAAATTTTCCCAACCCACAACAGAAGTCCTTCCCATCTATCCTTAACTTTCAAGACAGTTTCCAAATGCATGTATTCTTATTTAACATACATGTTTATAACCTACAGAAAGAGCTTAAACTCTATTTCAAGTTTGCAACCATCCTTTTGAATCTGGCAACAGGAGATATTAGTCCAGACAAAGTATATACATATAAACAAAGTTGATGCTCATAGCACTGATGATTTTTTAACCTACTTATAGTTTAATTAGAAAACCAGTTAAATTAATTGTTTTTAGACATTCTATTGTAGTGACTTATGTATTATTTATCTTCTAAAATGCACAATTTAAAAGTACTCAAATTCTTGTTTCAACAACAAGCTACTTAGAGAAAAACCAATTTAGCTACACGTGCAACTGCACAATTTCACATCTTGCAATACAAGAACCTGATGTGTTTCCACTGTGATGTGATGCTTTCTAGGGATAAATATTCTACTTAACTTAGTAAAACCATAAAACTAAAATAAACTATACATTAAAAGGTAAACAGTTGAAGAAGTGAAGAAATAAAAAATCTCTCAAAATGATAGCTTCAAAGATAGCTTCATTATATTTCATAATTTTTCAAATTTCATTTTACTGTACATTGATGATTAAGCTACAGTTAGCATTAGGATGGAAAACATAATAGCAAATATAATGTTTTACCTTAAAGAAACTTTTGATATTCATTTAGAAAGTTCTAGAGATTATGCAAACTAAATAAATATGAAAACTGTAAGGTCAAAAGAAGTATTTTTATTCTTATGATGAAAAGCACTTTGCACTCATATTACTCATTAAAGCTACATGAGTATTCTTCTATGACATGACAACAGGTAAGGATAACTTTTGTACAAGTTAAGTATGATAAGTTAGTGTGCACCTCACTAAACAGATCATGGGCAAAAAACTTACCTGCACACACTACAAAAATAACTACTCTGTATGACTACAAAGAACCTCCATTAGACCAATAAACAGCCCTAAACAAGACTTACCTGCACACACTACAAAAATAACTACTCCATATGACATGAAGACCTTCCATTAGACCAATAAACAGCCCTAAACAAGATTTACCTGCACACACTACAAAAATAACAACTCTGTATGACCATGAAGACCTTCCATTAGACCAATAAACAGCCCTAAACAAGACGTACCTGCACACACTACAACAATAACAATTCTGTATGACCATAACACCTTCCATTAAACCAATAATTAGCCATAAACAAGACGTACCTGCACACACTACAACAATAACAACTTTGTATGACCATGAAGACCTTCCATTAGGCCAATAATCAGCCCTAAACAAGACTTACCTGCACACACTAAAACAATAACAATTCTGTATGACCATAACACCTTCCATTAAACCAATAATTAGCCCTAAACAAGACTTACCTGCACACACTACAACAATAACACCTCTGTATGACCATAAGACCTTCCATTAGATCAATAATTAGCCCTAAAAAAGACTTACCTGCATACACTGGAACAGAAGCTGCATAATATTGCTGGACAAAACCAACTGTTCCATGTGACCATTGAGACCTTCTGCTAGACCACTGAGCAGATCCAGAGCTACTATCATAAAATCTTTGTCTGGTGCCTCAAACTGGTCGGGATGTGCAGCATTCGCCTAAACAATCAATGACTAAATTAATCAACTACCTTTAACCTTTATAAATCTTACACAGTTTAATATATCAGAATATCTTTTGTATAACTCATAATTTTTCTCATTTAGTTAAGAATCTGAATAATTCATTGAAATCAAGAATAATTACAACTAAACACTATTATACGAAAGCAATTTCTACAATATAAATTTTTTTTAACATTTAATGTTTGAAGAATTATCTGAAGCTGCTTATCCTGTACCAGCCATAAAGAAATAATTTTGATGCAGTCATACTGAAAACATATATAAGAAATATTTCTAAACATTTCAGATTTTTTTTTCACTAAGAATACTGAAATAATGTACTTAAACATGATACAATTCTATTGCAATATTGTATGTATAAACCTCTGATTTTTAACATAGTTCTTCAGTGACTTATGTACAATGATATTTCAACAAAAAATGTACAAAAGTTGTATTTTTAGAGCAGTAAACTTGATTGTATAAACTTAAAAGGTTATTTTAGTAAAATGGTCCAGGAGGTAAGAAATGCCTTTAGTCACAATAAAAACATTGTTTCAGAAAAATCATTTCAGAAAGAAAAAAAGTAACAATTACAGCAATTTTTTTCAAGAATTGTACCCTAAAACTATTTCTAAAGTTTGTGACAATTTCAATTCTATGTGACGACCAAAGCATGTTTGTAAAACTTTTTACAGAGTTACATTCAAAATTTAATTAAACATTTTCATTAACAATGAATGTTAACCTTGAAGTACATGCATGGCTCTTTTGCACATTACATTGTTTTACAGTTACATTCACAATTTAACACTCTCACTACAAGCTCAGTAGAATCAACAGAGTTTGTGACCTAAATTGACTGTTATAGTTTACATACTATAACTTCCAATATGTTATGTGTATCTTCATGCAATTTTGCAAGCTTTCAGTAACAATTAAATCTTTTGTAGACAAAAAATTCTGAATTTTTGATGAAGTATTTTCACTAAACATATCTCTGTGAATATATGGAGACAAAGTGTTGACTGCTCCAAGTGCAAAGTGATTTTTATTTTACAAATAAAAATACTTTTTTTTCATATGAAAATTGTCATATTTCATTTGCATAGTCTCTAAAACCTCCTAAATAAATTTCAAACTTTTTTTTGGAAAACTTTATAATTTATGTTATTTTCTCTTCTGTAACTCATAGGAGGTTGGTCAATTTGATTGACCTCCTAACCACCAGTAAAAAATTCGAAATAAATCTAAATTTCCATTTTTTCATTCTAAAATGACATAAATTGTAACATAAAACTACAATTGCTTATCATAAATAGCTTAAAACTCATAATCATATACATCTGTTTCTACTTAAATGTTACTGTTTTTCTGCCCTTTGAACCTTTCTAACTAAAAATCCCACCACACAAGTTATGTCACTTGGAGAATATATAGTTCACTTTACCCTATCAAATTATGTAATGCATGGGTTACTCATGAGTTTTTCTCGAGTATTCCTCGTACAAATTTATCATTATTCTTTACCTAATATGACCTTATGTAACCTAAAACGTTTCTACTTTTTACATTTTATTTGCTTTTACAATAATAAATAAAGAATACACATGAAAAACAAGAAATAAAGTACTTACCTAGATTTTTTTCTTTGCTTTTGACTGTTGATTACAATTAGCTCTACTTTTTTTTTTTATACCAATGGTAGTACTACACTAAACTTTTTACTTAATTAAATATTGCACCAAAGAACACAGAATAATAAAGTGCAAAAAGTAGATGTCCCATAATTATTAAAATTTTTCTGGCTTTCTAATTATGCGACAAGAGTCGTTAAAACTTCAGCTAAGCTCATCTACGTGTTTCCTGTGGGAATAAAGGTTGAACTGAAAGAGAAACTGACAATTCTCTGTACAAAAACATCATAATAAAATACACCATTTGATAAATTAAAACCTTGGCTTTCTATTGGTTATACATGATATAGTATTAAATGTCAGAGAACTACTGGCAATTTGTGAAAGTGAGGAGAAAGTAGAAAATAATACCTCTCTTGCCATGCACGCCTATCACATCCTCTCTTCCACGAATTGCCAAGTTCTCTCTGATGTTTAATACTATCTATATTATTTATAAATAGAAAGCTAAAGTACTATTGTTACAAATTACATATTATATTATGTTGTTTTCTGTATAGTGAATTGTTTATTTCGCTTCCAGTTTAAACTTTATTCCCACAAGAAACACTTCAACGAGCTTAGCTGAATTTTTAACGGCTCTTATCAAATACTTAGAAAGCCAGAAAAATTATGATACTTACCAGATATTGTGTTCTTAGGTGCATTATTTAATTCTCTTGCAACAGATTTGGTCAATTCGACCTAAAAATTGAACAAAATTACCTTTGGAGTTTCCATACTATAGCTTCTAATGTATTTTGTGCATCTTCACGAAATTACAAATGTTTCAGTAAGTTATTAAGAGTCATTTGTAGACAAGAAAATCAGAATCTTTAAGTATTTTTTACTAAAAATATGTCCATAAGCATATGGAATCAGGGTTTTGACTGCTCTAAGTGCAAAGTAATCTTTATTTTAAGATTAAAATACTTTTCATCATTCAAAATTTTCCAATTTCATTTGCATAATGTCTAAAACCAACTTCATAGTCACAAGAAATTGAAATAAGTCTGAAACACCCTTTTTCCTTTCTAGAATGACTTCAAATTGTAACATGAAACTACATTTGTTTATCCTAAACAGCTTTAAACTCGTAACAGTATACATCTGTTTGTATTTAAACTTTATTGTTTTACTAGTGAACCCATGGACTTATGGCCCACACAGACCCACTATAATGCAAATTTAATGCTTGAACTACTGTTTTGCACATTTTCAGTTAAAAGATCATTGCTGCTATGATGTAAGTTTAATTTCTTTAACCAAGTTATGAATGGTAATTAATAGGCCAACTTATTTCCGTGCTCTAATGCAAATTAATGCCAAATTTTGGGTTCACTTTTGGAAAATCCCAGTAAGTGTTTTCACAAAATACCCAGGTTTCCTAAGGGGTTGAGTGAAAAATTTTACATTTGTGCAAACCCTGAGGCTAAAATGATTTGTTTGGTATACCTAAAAGTCAGTGCAGCCAGCAGTTTAAGGAGGAGTTACGTGACACAAACACACATGAACACTGAATCTTGTTATATAGATTGTCTTTTGAACTATGTCTATCCGATATTCCTGCCATAAAATTTGTAAATCAATTGTAAACATGGAGCACACGTCACCCTATAGAATTACATAATGAACAGGCTAATCATAAGATGCTTGCAAGCATACCTCATGGAAAATTTTCATAATTATTATTATTCATTTTACCTAATCTAACCTAAAAAGTTTCTACTTCTTACATTTTAGTTACTTTTTTATAATAAATAAAGAATACACACGAAAAACAAGAAATAAAGTACCTATCTGGGTCTTTTTTTTTCTTGCTGTCAACCAACTGTTTTTATTTAACCATAAGAATAAAGTAGTTTAATTAAATTTTGAATGTAATACTAAAAACCTTGTGAGATGTGCAAAAAAAGATGTCCATGTAGAGAAGGTTAAGTATAATGAAATCAAGAAGTTTTTCCGTTTCTATTTTTCAGACCTCACAACATAGCTGTAATAAACCTAGTATGATACACTGGCATTATAACTACACTGTTAGAAGTTTTCAGGATCATAAATCCACAGTGAAGAACAGTGGTGTAAAACTAATAAATTTTGTATGAATAATCATTATTTCACTCTTATTTAAGATATTTTCTTTCATTACTTTAAATATTCTGTATGTAACTGAGTCAACTTTAACGATATATGTACACCAGAAATCAAAATACATTCTTACCATATTTTGATTAAGTGTCTGTTCCACAAGAGACACGCAACGCTTAAAAACTGGTTCACAATATGGAAGAAAACCTGCCTGAAGAGCTGTTGCAACACTGGACAAACACTAATTAGAGAACAAAAATGTATATATATATATTCATTAAAAATCAGAGACTACTAACTTGCAAACAGTAACTAACATGCAAGGCATAAAGCAGACTGAAAAATAATTTTTCCTTATGTAACAAACATGGCTGTGTAACAATTATTTTTGTTGGTTTTTTAATATTCAAATACTCATTATTTTGGTAATATCTATTTCAGTAAGGTGTTGAAACATTTCACATCTGTCAACTGTTGGTATTTTCAATCTAAACAGCACTCTATGTGACATGGTCTAAATGGCTAAGTTAGACTTCCCTACGAATCAGACATAGCCATCCCAAATTGTGAACTGCTGTCCAGATGGAGCACCAAACTGGTAAATACTGGGATTATATGCCACAGGTATAATGTCCCACCAACTGAACTTGACCTTAAAGTTTGCTTGCAACACACAGAAAACAATAAAGAGGTTTTACAATGAGAGTTTTACTGCTTTTCATTTTCTTCAAATTTGTATCCACGCTAGAAAAAAATTATTTCACAGATTTACTTACTTCTAGTAGAGGAAAGAGATCCTTGTCATCATCCTTTAGAATATTCCATTTCTGAATTAGCGGGGGCATTAAAAGGTTGATGTATTCCTATAAACATACAGAAACAGAGGTATTAAGACTAGATCTCTGTGTGTGGATAATCTACTTGGACTTTCAGGTGTAAAAACTCTTGGAATAATAAATTCATATTTGAAAGCATGAAATTAGTAATTAGTTGCCATATATCACAAGAGTTAAAAGAAAAATAGAGCCAAATTCAACTTCACCTTAAAACCAAAAATGTTTACCATATTTACTGTAACAAATATATAAATCTGTTACTTTATTCAACAGTATTCAATAGTTTACCTGCTTATTAAGATGATGTCCCACAGAGTCAGCCAGAGTTCCAATAGCATCATAGAGAATTAGGAGGTTTTTGTGCTGTAAGATTTAAAATGAATATGTACATAAACCATTTAGAAACAATCCTTTATCTTTTAGTAAGACATGTACCAGTTGTAATCCCTATGTGAATGGTGAGGTCAAAGTGTGTATGTCATGACCTTTCTAACTCTATACCTTTTTACACCATTTTTAAATTCCATTCTACATATGGTAGTGTTACATTCAAAACTTAATTAAGTCATTTTACTATCAATGAAATTAACATAATTTGAATTTTTATGTTATCTAAGTTATAATTCCTTTTTTTCAAATGAAACATTAAAAAAAACTTCAACTGCAGTTTCATGTCATGTGATAAACCCGCTATAAAAAATCTCAACTTTAGCAGCGGTTCACTCTTAGCCACACAAGCTGGCAATGTAGACGAGCGTCAAGACTCTCATGAATGTGTTTCAACTACTGCCACGCAAGATACAAAGTCTTACAACTGTACTCACTGGGAAAAAGAAATAAACTTTCCAACCCTTGATGGTTGCCACACACACCTTCTATATTTTGCCATGAAATCTACATGTAGTTACTATACACACATATATATATATATATATATATAGTAATTAAAAAAAATCTCACTTTACACTATACTCTGCCAATGGTTAACTTTAATTTGGAAAACAGTTTTTCTCATGTGTACATGTAGCTGCCATTAGTAATGTTGTCTGTTTGATCGACTACAACAGTTACAGTGGTTTCTTACTTAAATATGTTAAGGCTACAGAGGCAATTAAATTATATTTAGGTCTTACTTTTATATTTTAGTTAATTATGTATTATTTGTGTTTTCAAAAGGTTTAATGATATTTATAAGTTTAACTTCTTTAACACAAGATGGTGTTATTATTATTATAATGCAAAGCATTAGTGAAACGAGTTTCTGCAGAGGAGTCACAGTATGATAATAAAACCCTGTGTGCACCAGTTGACGTATCAGCATAAATAATAAGAGACAAGAATTGGAAATTAAAATTAAAAATAAACCAAGTGAAAAGATAAAGACATGAAATTACACATATTAAATCAGCTAAAAGATATGTACATATTTTCATATCTTAATTTTAAACATGTCATTGCACTGTACTTTGATGATAATGGGTAGAGTTAGTGATATAGTAAAGAAAATAAAATATAAACAGTTGCCTTATAAAAACTTTTGATACTGATTTAGGTGGTTCTAGAGATTATGCAAATGAAATGTGAAACTGTAAGATAGCAAATAGTATTCTTATACTTCATATAAAAATCACCTTGTAGGTGAACTAGTCAAGAGTCCGGGAGCAAATAACTACATTAAATATTGATTTTTTTTTATATTAAAAATCGTACAAAAAATAAAATTAAAATATTTAATTTTTCTGAAACTACATATTTTTAGAAATGTTCTTGTCAAATTATAACCAATTTCATCAACTAGTTTTATTTTTGGAATGAAATATGACAAGAGCAACGTCATCTTCTAAGAATAAAAGAAGTCGAACGCCAAAGGGTTACATACAGTTACATTCAAAGTTTATATTAAAAACTTTATTATTAATTTATGTCAATAAACTATGCATCAAAACACAGCATATAATAAAAATTTTGACACATTTGCCAATACAGCAATTTTAACCCAAGTGCTAATCTAATAATGTACACTGACTTGCATTGTTTACTTGTGTCACAGGTATCAGAAATAGGCTTCAATTCCAAGAACTGTTCAGCAAACCTATTCTTTTCAATGACCATCATATCCATAAAATCCTCAGTCCCAAACAGTTTGAAAATGCCAATAGGAACAGCCTCTGGCAGCAATTCTGCAACCACTTGAGGCTGTATAGTAAAAGAAATATCAGTTTGACTAATACATGTGACCTGGACAGTTTACTATCTATCAACTGATGATGATATTCCTGGATCGGCAGTGTCAACTACAGACAAATTAGCTTGAAAGTTTGCCTGGTCTGTACAGTCCAGGCCTCTTTCATCATCAGACTCAGAGTCAAATAATTACTATCCCTATCTACACTGTCCTCCTCAAATGACTCTGGATCACATTCTTGTAAACTGCTTACAATTTCACTCAGACAAAACATTTGTACAACACTGCTATCTTGTAGTTATAACAGTAACCAAAACAAACTGCTACAGAAATGCCACACAACTTGACCCTTTAGTGAAAACATAATTCACAAGAGAGTGGCTCACATAATCATGTATAGCAATAAGAGACTGAAGATGTATATTCAAACAGTTATAGCCCCTTTGCTGACTGACATGTTAATTAATGCACCAGAAGGCTTAACTAACAGAAATGATTGACTAGTTGACAAATTGTTATCCAAGTTTTGATTTCTTAATTTAAAAAAAATATTTGAATAAATTCTCAATCTTGAACTCTGTACTTATGATGTACCTGGTAGTCTGATTTTCCCATCTCCATTTTTCTTTCTACCCTTAAATACATTTCAGTGTCCAATGAATTCAATACAAATACTATACATATTAACAACCCTGAACATAAAAGTTCAAACTTCAATCTTCTGTGAAATATTGTAAAGTTAAACAAAGTGATTCAGTGATGAGTGATAAGATTAACTCTTTCAGCATGGGGTCGATCCCTAGGAACGAGGAACGACCCCGTAACCATTTTGTGCTTGATATACTTTTTCATGCTATAATTTTTAAATTAGTAAAGGTTTGTTAACAAAATTTGACAGAGTAACAGTAAACATTACAATGCTTTCATACGCAAAACATAATTTTTCTTTATTAAGTCTTAAGGTTTGTTAAGCGATGTTTTCTCATGCCATTTTTTTTCTTTTTGCTTGTTGCCTATCCAATATGCAAAGTAATTTCCATTTTATGTTTAAAAATACTTTTATGCATCACAAAATTTTCAAATTTCACATGTGAAATTTCTATAATATCCAGATAGTTATCAAACATTTCTTAAGAAAAAAATTTCATATTTTTTCTGTTATTTTCACTAACGAATCTCTGTAAGGGGTTCGGTAGATTTGATCGATCTTGTAACCACCTTAATAAATTAAGAAATAAATATAAATTATGCCTATTTTGCTCTAGAATGACAATAAATTATAACATGAAAACATAAATGTTTTGACTATATAGCTTAAATCTCATGACATTATACGTTTATTATATTGACCTTTCAGCCATGCCTGGCTAACAATACAGAATTTAGAATGATGAGGCACACGTGCCCTCATGCTAGCATATCCAATAACATAAAATTGACCTTTAACCTTTACAAAGTGACCTGTCTTAAGTGTGTTTTAGTAGACTAGTATTTTGTAAAATACAGTCACATTTCTATTATTATTATACATTATATGTATATAGATTATTACTATTTAGAATTAAGTTCTTGAACTTATTTTTCTTAAAACATAGCACAGTAAATAAAGAGATATTGGAAACAATTATCTCTTTTAGTTACAACCTTTGTACTCGGTTGCTGCTTGACACAGGTTGCTAAGCCTTTAAAAATGTCACACAAGGAGGATATGAAAAAAATATTTTTTTAGGTTTTACATGTTGAATAACCAAATAATCATAAATTACTATACCGATACCTTACAATTCATCAATCTTAGTAACTAAGCTTTATTTGGGTCTAAAATAATATGAATTTTTGAACATACTAAAAACACCCTACTCCCTTGTAATCTTGGTTCGAAAGAACGAGATGGTGCCCTAACACATGAAAATGGCTGAGAAAGCCACTAGGGGGACATTCTGAGCTTTTGATTGGTTATTCACATATAATATATTGAAGTAAGTGTACATAAGGGACCATTTCCAAAAATGGAAAGAGGTGAGCAGGGCCAATGTGTTTGATTCAGCACATGAGTGATTCCTCAGTAAACAGAAAAGATACGAGGTTCTTATTTTATATTCTAGCTTGTCAATATCAGTAATTTGAGTTCCTAATTCATATGAAACTATAGACTTAGTATTTTGACATCACAAACATCTAATTTGAACTAGTACTGCATTCAACATACCATGAGACACACAAAAATTGATATTTAACTGTTTTTTAATATTTACATTTAAATTAAGAAATTGAATAATGTATAATACTAAAATTTGAATTTATTTCACAGTTTGATATCAAACTTATCAACATAAATTCATGAAATAGGAGTTCAATAAAATTTTTAATGCGAGACAACAAATGCGATGACATGGCCTTTGACCCATGACTTATCTGAAGAGGATTAATATATTTATAACTAATAAGCTTTAAATATAAAGAAACCAAGCTGTATTTTGGTTTTATTTTTCAGATCTCACAACATAGCTATAATAACCTAGTATGATTCCTTGGCATTACAACTATACTATTAGTAGTTTTCAGTATCATAATTCCACAATGGTGTAAAAATTAATAAATTTTATATGGATAATCATGAGCTTTAGCATGAGAAATTTTTATCACTCTCACAAGACATGCCTTCCTATTTCCCTCCAAATTTAAAGACATCTCTATATTTCTCTTTGAAAATGCTATTCAATATTTTCATAACCAATATAAAGAATAGTTTCTCAACCAAGTGAATCTGATGACTCCATTTTGCTTTAGTGCTCAAAGCCAATAACTCACAAAGAAATCATGAAATGTTTTGATTAGCCACTAATCCAAGTAGTAATGGAATTTACTGCTTTAACCTATTCATAGCTTAGCTAGAAAGCTAATTAAACAGTAATTTTGGACACTATTCTAATGCCTGATGTATTTTTTGTTATCAAATGTATACTTCAAAGAAACTTGAAATATTTTGTAGACAACCAACATAATGTGAAAACAGTCTCATCAAAGTACGTTCTTGAGCACAAATAGGCTCATTTGCTTAGGTAGTGTTAAATTTGTTTTTTTTAATTATGTTTTTATTAAAATTTACTAAAGTTTAAAAATTAGAAAATTATTAGGTTAGATAACAAAATGTAAATGAAAAATATTTATAAGACCAGCTTGAGGTACTGTCACATTATTGTAACATGATAAGTTGTTTACAACAAGTTCTCCCACTATGGTTAATTAACTGTCATACTGTTATGTAGGGTCTATAGGGCATTGTAAATTAAAATTAAAATCAAACAGAAGTGAAATATTTAGGAATCTAAAGTTGTGTTAAAATAAACAATTGTAATTATCTATTACAGCCTGCAATACTTGTTAACTACAAATTTCATCATCTTATTTTATATTTTTCAATATTTTATTTTACTGTTCTCACTACAACTGATGTTAGGGTAGAATACATAAGTATAATTATTTTACCCCCAAAATAAGTTTTTGATAACTTGAAAGGGGGTTTTGCAGGCTGTGCAAATGAAATATGAAAATTTATGATGAAAAGAAGTTTTTTTATTCTTAGCATGAAAATCACCTTTCACTCAAACTGATTCAGTAAAGGTTTCGTACATTTTCAGGTACATCTTTATAGTACATTTAATTCATCAATATATATATGTATACTTTAGTGTACAACAAATATGTAATGTTTAATAAAAGCTTACAACATTTTGTGAATGCACACACAGAAATTCGGAATTACAGTAAATACTGTCACATGTACCTCCACAGAAACCCGGTCAGTCAAATGGACCAACACCATCCACATAGGTTTACAGCACTCTTTCAGGGACAAAATCTTTCTTAATTTCAAAATCTATCTTCTTATCAATGCTAACAGTACTGACTAATTGTAAAACTCGTTAAGTCTATAAAAAATAATTATGTAGGTAATAAAATATGTGGCATCACAACTCGTAAAAAACAAATTTTCAAACCACTCCCTCTTTTACGTATGAATAAATAGCACTAAATCACCAGCTTCAAGATCTAAATTTCTTCAATTATTACATGGAAATAGGGAGCACAAACCAAAATTTATGCACACCAGTTAACCTACTAAAATATACTTGGGTAACTTATCAGTACCTTTATGTCTGTGTTCCTACCCAATATTTAATAAGGCAGATATTAGGTAACTAAACAGTACTACCAACAATAAAATTCCAAGTGTCAGATCATCTAATGCCATGGAGATGAGATGTTTGATTATTTTAATTCTGTTCTTAAATTATTAAATACTAACTGATGTAACCGTTCAATGCTAGAAAAAGACACAGGGAGGGTCAGATCTGAACACTACCCGCGGGAACCCTAAAGGTTCATAGCAGGTTTGGTGACAATTATCTAGCAGTTTGCCAGTTATAAGCAAGTTAGAAATGGACTTTAGTCAAATAACAGTTTAAGACTGTGAAAAAGTGAATAACACTTGTAATTTACTACAACACATTAACTATAAGTAGTAACTTCAAAATGCACTTAGAAATGAAAATGTTTATTAAGACAATTATCCACAGATGTTTTTTCTATTTATTGAAATGGACTACAATTTTTAAGATATGCTCAAAAATACATCATAATTTGTATTGAAAAACATAAACAAGTTAATATTCACTAAAAATAAGAGCTACATTTTAAATGAAGCTTTAATTTACGACAAATTACCTTTTTTTGGTGTACCATATATAAAACTTCAAACACACACAATATACATGAAACAATATAAAAACATTTTTAAAAACTCTTTATTACTGTTAATATAAATACTGGTTTCTTATCTTCCAGGATACTCTTCATTTTCTAAAATAAGGTTCTCTCTAGCAAAACCTAGTTAACAATGAAAAACTTACCATGTTTTCTTTACCATAAAGTTTTATATATGTTTTAAACTCCTCTGTGTGTTAAACCATGTAACATATAATGTGGTTTTAAAATTATTAATAAAATAATTTTCATAAAATAATCTCTTATTCTTTTCACAAGAATACCAAAATGGAAATACTTAGAAAAAAGTTTTTCTAAAGTATGACAGTTTTCCAAAATACACTTATTAATGTGTTTGATAACAGGTAATGGGCTATTATATGCATTTTTGACAAGTTATTTATGTACATTTGTTTTTAAACATGTGTTTATATATATATATATATAGATAGATAGATAGATAGACATGCCAATAGACGGAAACAATAAACTAAGATAATGAAGATAATGATCTTCTAAGAGAGTACCAACCTGATATTTGTTGAATGCAAACACCAGTGTTTCCAGGATAAAACCTAAATAAGGAACCAGCTCTGTGCATGCCTCTTCTTCCAAAGTGGCAAATGCACTACAAGCTGCTTCTTGTACTCTCTTATTGGGGTCCAGCACTCTTTTTAATAGCTGTAACACACAGTTAGTATATTTAAAAAAATTGTTCCATATAGGACAAAGATTTTTTAAATGATACATCACAAGAAATCAGTAATTTAGTTATTTTAAATAATTCTACATTTAAATTTGTTTCTTCAATAATATCTATAAAACAATATTGTTTTGAATATTACATTTAACTATCTTTCTAGTAAAATTATTGTCCAGAAGATAACATCACTAAACTAAAATATCAGTTCGGTTGCAAACATATCAATCAATATTAACATTAAAACCATTTTCAAATTACAAAACAGTAAGCACTCCAATAATGAAAGTTTTTGTGGGAAGTTTTGGTTACAAAAATTTTTTTCAACTTTATGGAACAGTCTCTCTTACCTCTGTCATTAAAGGCTTGAGATACATGTCATGAGGTTGCCCCACAACCCAATGGGAGTAACGACTTAGGGTCCAGCACGTAATTGATCGAACAAGTGCTTTCTTGTCATTCAGACAAGTGATCAAGTACGGAACCAACTCAGAAAGGTGTGGGACCATGCCATTCATACAACCTAAAAAAAATGAAATATTTGATTTAAAAAAGTGGAATAAAGTTTTGATTATATCGTACAACTTTGATAAAAGTGACAGAATATACAACACTGGTCAAAATTAACCAAAATAATAAATGTGATTAAGGTGCGACTATTTTCAACATTAAACTGCCAACTTAATGGTTTTTATTTACCACAATACTAATTTTAAAATGCTAAGTTTTACTCAACAGATTTTTTCTGACTTTTGCTTCTCAAAACTATATTTTAGTTAATTAGTTGTACTCAACAGTAAATTTTAGGCTTACCTTGGTTTTTATTCACCTTTACCTTTAAATTACCAACTTGTATTTATAGAATTTTCTAAAATTGGGGGGTGGGGGTGTTTATTTCCTTACAACACCTTTATACAAAGCTACACAAAGAGCTAGCTGTACATCAATTTCCTAATTCTGAACTGATAGACAAAAGGGAAGTCAGTTAGTCAACAGCATCCACTTACAATTCTTGGGCTACTAACGTGTGACTGAATAGTAGGCTTTAACTATCACCCTTAAAACCACCCACAGCCCCAAAGTGTGAAGTTTGTTTTTGTGACAGTAGGTCACAAACAATGAACTATATTTCTTTGCATTTGATGAAAGAATAAGAAGACAAATAATTTCCCTTGAATAGGTAGGAACCTCACAGAAGATGTAGTATTTGATGGGTTTTTCTGCACAAATAGGAAGAAAATGAGTTGCTGGTCACTTTATCATTGGGCAAGGCCAACAACATGCAAATTTTATTATTTTTCAGTTTCAACTTTTTAAAAATTGACAAGTTACATGTGTTCATATTTCATGATAATGTTGACCGTTAAATAAGAAACAAGGTTTTTCAAGTTTTTATTATTTCAAGCGATGCCTAAGGGCTACAAACAATAAACTTTTATAGTTCATGTTGTTGTTGATTATGATGAACAGTACAGTAAGATTCCTGATAGTTCAAAGGAAACATTAGATTCACAGTCTGATCACACTCAGCACTATGTCATGCCTGATATATAAGATTAGACACTCTGTAATCAAAAAAGTTATGGACCCACAAGGAATTTGTTGCATAAATAGTTTTACAAAATGTGTTTCAAAACCAATTGGTTCATCAGTAATTCTAGAATTAAAACTAATTTCTACCTAAATTGGTGCAACCTACCTTCAGCTATTGCACCAAGAGCCAGAATTCCTGACTCCTTAATCTCCCAGTCCTGATGAAAAAGTGTTTCTTTAAGAATGGGAAGAAGTACAGGTAAAAGCTCTTCATGGAAAACATTAGCAAGTACATCCAATGCTGCTGCAGAACACTTTCCTGTAAAACACAGGGGTGAAGTTCATGTATAAAAATCTGACAATAAAACATAAAATCAACATTTTCATTCTTGACCACAAAACTAGGTTCTATTTGATCAATAGATAAATCAAGTACACATTATAAACATATTACTAAACTTGCACAACTGAATACTTTACCCCTAAATGTATTACTACCCATTTCAGAACCAGAGGGGGGGGGGGTGTCACTAATAATTACTAATGTTTTTATTCTGATAGTGGCAATGTAGCATTTGCTGAATTACAAGAGCAAAGGCATAATGGCAACTTAAATAAAAACCATAAAAGTCCATGAAAGTGTCTAATGCTGACAGTCCAATGAGTTGACCAAATAAAATAAACATTGAACAACTCGAAGTACACAGGTAAACTTGTAACATGAAAAAGAGACTAGCAGTTTTTGTTATCAGTGCCAAACAGATGCATTTCCATTAGAGAAAGCAACGAATGTTTATTATATCAGACACCATAGTTGGAGGAAGTAGCCTTATAAAAAAATGAACAACAAAACTTTGACAGAAAACTATAACTAGAAGAATGAATGAATCTCGCACAGAATGAAAATCACTGTGAAATAAGACATGAATGATTATATTTTCTTAGCAAGTATAAACCTAAACTTCAGAATGGAAAACAACACTAGGAAAATGGAGAAATGGGTTGTTTATAGCCAAAACTCCTTTGTTTGAAATTAAGCACAAAGCTACACAAAGGGCTATCTGTGCTCTGCCTACCATGGGTCTCAAAACCCAGTTTCTAGCATTCACAGGCCTACCAATGTGCCACTGGGGGCAAGATTCCTCTAAGCTGTGCAGAAGTTAATCTTAGAACATTTTTTTCATATTTATTTGTAAATTACACTATGAAAGCATTACAAAATGACAATAGAAAACCAAAAATATCTCAATTAGAATCACCATTTTGACATAAATTTTAAAAACTGATGTGCACTCAACACCTGAAATGAGCTCTCTGGTCCAGATAGTAAGGGTGGTAATTAGTAAAACTTTACACAATAATGAAATCACTTATGACTAACTTTGCAAATTCTTTAGCTTCAAACCAAAATTCTTGAAAAAAAAATCTTTAATTCTCCGCATCCAGGTAACTGTTGCACATCATGACCTTTTACAGTGTCTCATTCAAAACTTAAACAACTTTATATTATTATGCAAGTCAATAAACTTGGCATGAAAATGTTGTTTATAATTCAAATACTTATATTACCAAAGTTTTAACTTCTTAATTTCAAAAATAGATATTAAAAAATTTTTATCTTCATTTTTCTGTGTCACATGTGTGTGAACTCTGGTTTCTTCACTTCAAAATTTTGTAACATCAAAAATAGGCTGCTGTAGTTTCCAACCAATTAAAAACAAACTATACATAATTACAAGCATGAATCTAAAATTTGAGACTCCTACCTTGTTGATTTCCTGATGTACCAATAAATTCATCAAACCTACCATGAGAAGCCTCTCTCCAACTTTCAAGATTGTTTTCTAGTCAAATTTACATGACTGATGGACATGTTTATTTATAACCAATAGAAAGGGCAACTTCTCCTCTACAGAATCTTACATGCTGTGTTTTAATTTCCATCATATTTTACTGCTCTGAACACTATATGAATCTTTCTTACCTATTTATTAGCTTATTTAGAAAGCCAGTTAAATAAGTTTTGGGGCATTCTATTTTAGTAACTGGTATATTGTTTGTGCTCTAAAGTGCGTATTTGAAAGCTGTATGGATTATTTTTAAGACAATCAAATTTGTGACATTCACCAAGGCTAACAGGAGACTGCAAACATGCTACAGTATACAATAAATACTAAAAATTCTTGTTTTTGTGTATATTATTGTTCTTCCTTTTTTAACAAAGTAATTAAAATGCAAAAATTAGAAACTTATCTGCTTAGTTTAACAAAATTTCACAAGCTTGAGCACCATGCACTGTTTACATTAGCTCCATGGCAAACAACTAATGGGGTACCACTTTGATTTATTGCTTTTGATGTGAAAATTGCTGCTTGAATGTGTACAAAGTAAAGCAATGTAGTCTTAAAATGAAAATGAAAGATAAATAATTTGTAATTTTCTGATCAAAACTGCAGTCAGTGCAGAGGGAAAAATGGCATTACTTTATTTCAAATGTTTCAACCTTTCATTTCACTGTATATTTATGATTTTTTGTTACAGTTAACACTAGGGTAGAGCAAATATCAAAGTATAAAGGTTCTAGACCTTACGTAAATGAAATATTAACTATAGAATGAAGTATTTCATTCTTATTATCAATATCATGTTTCACTCTGACTAAGTAAAGGCTTCAAACATTCACAGACAAATTTTTACTAAAATTACTTTATCAATAAATGTGATTTGCATACAACAGACTTGTAATGTTTACTAAAAGCTTCCAAACAAATTTCAATAAGACACATAGCAAGCCCAGAATTATAGTAAACATTACATAGAGGGTTAGTCAATTTGACCAACAATAATTAGCAAAACAAGACGTATGTGAGCCCACAACCTTCAATAAAAATATTTTAATCAATGAATTAACTATCTTATAATATTAAAAGCTTTGGTAATGATCTACCTCTTCAGCTGTGTATTACTCTCAATTTACTTAAACGTACATTTTTATTTTGAACAAAAATTTCTTTGATTACTTACTTAGATTCCAGTCTGACAATGAATTATCGTCGTCTAATCCGTCTTCTGAATCCCCATCCTCCTACGAGAAATGATAAAAAAATTAAATCTAGTGAAACTAGTATACCATCATTATATATGAATAACTTTGGCATCAAAACTGTTAATACACCACATTTCAATATCATACAAGTTCTTAATTTTATAACGAAATATCTAAAAAATCCTCAGTCTCCCCTAGTATCAGAATTATGACATTTGCTCTCTAGGTCTTCCTTCTTCTCTAAATTGAGAAGAATAGAATTTAACATAAATTACTCATTAAAATATAGATATTACTAAGGCAAAGCATAATTATTATAGCCTTCAATCTAATTTGTTTATGGAGCAATAAACTACAAAATCGACTTACTTGTCACATCTTTTTTTTTCACAAATTGCTAATAGTTTCTCTGACGTTTTATACCATATTATGTATAACAGATAAAAAGCCAGAGTTTTAAACTATCAAATGATGTATTTTATTATGTTGTTTTCTGTACAGAATATTGTCTATTTTGCCTCCAATTTGAAAATCTCATGTTATTCACATCACAATCTTAGCTACATTTTTAACGGCTCTTATTGCAGTTAGAAAACCAGATAAATTATCTTTTTATTCTGTGTTCTTATGTGCATTAATTAATTAAATAAAAATTTAATGTACTAGTACCATTAATATAAAAAAGTTAGTGTAGTAGTACCATTAGTATCAAAAAAATAAAGTAGGCTTAAGTTTCATCAACAGACAACAACAACAAAAAATCATTTTTTATGTATATTTTTTATTAGTATAAATGTAATTAAAATGTAAAAATGGAAACTTGTTAGGTTCAATAAGGTTAGATTAAGTAATATAATGAACAAAAAATTTGACAACATATGCTCAAAAGCAGCTTGTGCATTACATAATTCAATACGGTAATTTGAGCTGGGCATTCATCAAGTGATTTACAACTTGTGTGCCAAGACTATTAGTTAGGAAGTATAAAAAGATGTATAATGTTAAGAGCTTTAAGCTATTTAGGGTAAAGAATTATAGTTTCTGGTTACAATTTTTGATTGTTGTAAAAAAAAAGGAAAGGGTAATTATTTTTTATGCCAGTTACAAAGACAGTCACACTGACAAAATGTGTAGAGTTAGAGTACAGAAAATAACATAAAATACTGTTTTGTTAAAAAAATAAATGTTTGATATTCACTCAAGATGTTGTAGAGATAACACAAATGAAATTCAACATTTTTCAGGAGAAAGAAAATATTATTTCTAATCTTGACATGAAAATCACTTTTCACTCAGAGCAGTCAACATTGACTATATATTCATTGGCAAATTTTTAAAAATACTTAATTTAAAAAATATGTTTTTGTCTACAAAAGACTTGTAACATTTACTAAAAGCTTGACAAATTTTGTGAAGATACATAAAACATATTAAAAGTTATAGTATGGAAAGTGATAGCTACTTTGAGGTTACATGGTTAGTCCCATTGTCCAACCCATATGGAACAAGTTAATATGTTATTGATTGCTGAATAACACAAAATATAACAGTAGTAAAGGGGAAAATTATAAAACACTCACTTCTACATTATCATCCATGTGTTTCTGACTGTGTGTTTTAGATTTATGAAATCTTGGTTTAATATCTTCCTCACGGTCTGGTATCATTTCATCTTCTTCAACATCACCCTATACAAAATATTTCACTCAACAAAATTAGAAACTTTTCAAAGTTTTGCTCAACTTCTAACCAGAACACAGTTGTTACAAATCCCAACCTCTTAAACGTTGCATAAACTTGGATTTGCATAAAAATCGAATAGGAAATACTTGTATAACTCATACATTTTCAGATATAGAAATTTAACATGCATTAAAATAATAATTTTATTAAACTTTTACTGCTCTCCAAACACAAACACTTCTAGAAATTCTAAGAAATAAAAGGTGAAAGTAAAGAAAGTACAATATATTAACCACACCCTATTTGCCATTTCTACTGCTAATGAGGCCTTTTGCCCAATACCAGGGCTCATCAGACAAGCTAGAATAGGACAGACACATGAACAACTGTTGTGGTGTGAACTAGAATAAGCTTGTAAAGTGTAAATTTTCATTTATTTTATGAGTTATTTGTAAATCTGAATTATGGTAAAAATTAACAATGTATTATTACTTAACAACAATTACTTATTATTATCATTAAGTACTTTTACTTAAATTATCTTATTATTCAGAAGAACTGATGAACCAGTAAACTAGTCTTAATGTTCCTGAACATGTCAAATAACCAGAGTCAGCATAAATTCCCCTACAGCTTGACCACAATTTTAAAGCATTTTACAATCTAATGGTCTACTAAGAGTTCTTGCCTTCAATAAAATAATATCTATTTCACTGTATTTCATTCCTCTGACAAGCACTGGAATGAGTCGTGGTAGGTGGGGTGACAGAGCATCTTTACAGATAGGTTGTTCTGCTAGAGACAGCCAAAACTCGCATCCTTCCAGTGCCACTCCATCATCCGAATCTTGACTTCTCATCAGCATATACTAAATAAAATCAATATTTTACTCATACAAGTTTATATCAGTACTTTTACTCTGCTTTACAAAACAAAATATATATGGAACCTGTTTACAAATAAGTTTAAACTATTTCCTTTTCATAATTGGACCAGCTTAGCTACACTTGTTCAATGACTAACCTATGTCCCATTGAAAAACATTTTAAGCTCATATTAAAACATTTTAATACCTTGAAGTGTGTGTGTGTGTGTGTGTGTGTAAACTTCTTGTACACCAATCAAGCTAGTGGTATTTCAGAAAGCCTTTCATAATTGTGACTAAATCTTCTTTTTTCTGGAAATAATTTTGTCTTGCATATTTTCATTGGCTCTACTTGTGTGGGAATATATATATATAAAGAAAACTAAAATCTATAGCGTATTCACATGCGTATTTAGAAATTAAAAATTACACTGAACTAGAAGAGTGCATTGCAAATGAACTTTTTTGAATAGATTTTAAGAAATGCATACTCCTTCAAATATATATGTGTATGTGTGTGTGTTTGTCACCAACACCCAGTCATGTTCTATTCAAGGAATGTGCATCTTGTAAATATTGTCCTGCAGTGTAGTTTCCATTGCAAAATGCTCTATTTTAAGGCTGTCATGTCCAAACACATTACTGTTCCCATCTTGCCTTTCATAGTCCATTTAGTGTACAAGGATAATGGTTTGCCAGTGCCCATTTCAATGATCCAATCACAAAGAAATCCACAGGTGCTGCATCAAGCATCTTCACCAGTATTACTTCATATAGAATAGCATGAATACCCATTTCAATCTTATCTACTTCAAATAAGAAACTGTTGAACAGCATGTCATGGAAACAGCTTGTGTACATTTGACTTGTGTTGTTTTTTTCCACAGAGAGATCCTTCTTGATTGTATTGGAATACATACAGCTTTCACCATTGATGTCTGTGTTTGTGGTTCTTAACTGTTACAAAAAACTGCACTTCACTTATCACAACTAGAATATGACTTGTTGCAGGTCTCTATCTGGATGGTCCTGGCGCCCCTAGTTACCCATATGCCTATGTTTTCTAATGTCACTAAGTACAAGGAATATTTCCATCTTGCAAATTCTAAATATTTAACACAGCTTTATGATCTTAGTGTAAGAATATTAGGTCATCAAGAAATTAATGTCGCATTTTGGAACAATTTCATTAACCACCCCCAAAAAACTTACATCACATATAATAGTTAAATGAACCACTTAAGTGTAGCCTATATAATATGTAAAGTTTACTATACTCTAATCCCTTATAGCAATAGCACACATTCAGCATGTAATGCTGTTGAAATACAAGAAGGGAAACAACGCCTCTGTAGCCACAAAGAATATCAAAGAAGTTTATGAAAATATTTTGAACATTCATAAGTGTCAATGATAGTTCAGCAAATTTCATTCAGGTGACTTTAGACTTAAAAACTGTGATGGCAGGGGTCAACATATTGGAACTGATATTGATGATCTGAAGACACTTGTTGAGTCTAACCCAAGGCAACACACTCATGAAATGGCCCTGAAATTGCATGTATCTCATGAAACAATATGTAAACATCTAATGAATATGGGAAAACTTCATAAAGAAGGTGCTTGGGTGCCTCACGAACTCTCTGATGATCATCGTTTCCAATGTGTGAATGTTGCTTCGCCTCTTCTGGCTCGTAATGAGCATGAACTATTTTTGGACAGAATTGTCACCAGTGTTGAAAAATGGACTCTCTCTATGCAAATATTAAACATCAAAAACAATGGCTCAGTCCTAGACAAAAACCGCAGAAAGTGATGCTTTGCATTTGGTGGGACATCAAAAAAGTAATTCATTTCAAACTCCTCAATCCACAGGAAACTGTCAATGCAAAGATCTATAGCCAGCAATTGAAACATTTAAATCAAGCCATTCATCAGGAACACCCTTCACTCTACAGTCAGAAAGGTGTTCGTCTTCTTCACGATAAGGCACGTCCACATGTGACTCATTTGACACAACACAAGATTATAGAGTTGAGTTGAGAAGTTCTCCACCCACCCACCATATGCTCCAGATATGGCACCATCAGATTGCCATCTTTTTCATTTGCTGCAACACCATTTTAATGGGAAAACGTATGCAAATGTGGAAGGTATTAAAGAGGACATTGACATGTTTTTTGCTTCAAAGCCAAGTGATTTCTTTAATCAGGGCATTAAATCTGATTGCAAGATGGAAAAGCATCATTGATAAGAATGGAGACTCTTTCATTTAATAAATATTTACTTTTGATGTGTAAGTTGTTCGGGTTTATTCATCTAAAAAAAAGCGATATTAATTTCTTGATGACTCAATATTTTGAGTTGTAAAAGGCTGTTATGTATCCTACTTAAAATTGATCAACTTTTGGTGGAACACTACCTACAAAACACTAAACAATGTTAAAATATAGTTCTAATACATTCCATTCTACCATGACTTCACGTGGTTGTCATGTGAATTGCTGATTTGCATATTAAACATTGTTTTAATATAAGGTACTCAACCCTCTTGTAGTACTAAATGATAATTCTGATAAAACAAAACAGGTATGAAAAGTTAAAACACACTGTTGAACAAGTGTAGATTCTAACACAATTAATCAGTGTCCAAAGTTTGTTGTTCTTGCAACAAAATGTAAATCAAGTCAGATTCCACTTATTTAAAAAATGGCTGTCATTCAGTGTCATTACATAAACATTTGTTAAAAACATTAATTTTAAAATATATAACACTGAAATACTTCAATGAGTTCATTTTCAAAGTAAGACCTTGTGTAAATTACAAAATTTCCATACTGATATAAAATCATAAAATTAGCCAAATATCCAATTTTTTTCTAACTCTATAGCTTTTGAATAGGTGAATTCCACCAAGAAAGGTCTACCAAGTAAAATACCAATATAATAAACTTACAAGTATTCACAGTTCAATGTTTCTTCTAAATTTATTTTAATTAACTAAATGGACCACAGTGTTCCCTAATTCTATGGATGTCAAGCAAATCATTTCAGCACATGTGCAAGTTTATTTATTGTGCAGAAGCAATCCATGAAAGAGGAACAAGTGAACCAAATAATGATGCAAAATTTTAATTCATAAATCAAACAGAAATAAGTGAACATTCAGTGGGCTTAACATATCTGTTTGTAAAAACTGCCAATTTTAGTTATAAAATGTTCAAAATTAAAAAAAAAAGTTTTGAATCATCATATTTTTGTTTATTTGAACTGATATACAGAACTTATCATCATTTTTGCAACTGTACATCTATACTTTGAAATCTATACAAACTCCAAATGATATTCAAGGTAAGAGAGAAATTTAATTACTTTACTCATTTTCACCATTTTGAAAAGGTAAATTCTGTTCACACAACTTATTGAATCATTCCAAGCATATTCTTTAAAATTTGATAGTTCACCCATTATACCATTATGACTTTTCTAAAGAAAAAAATCCATAACTTTCACAACAAGTTATATAATTTCTTTCAGTGTTAAAATGATGTGATTAAGAGTACAGTCACTTTAATATATATTTCAAATTCTAACAATCTTTTTTTTAATACCAAACTAATGGTAAACATTATGTATCTGAAAAAAAAAAAACGTACAATTGCACAACTTTTCCCAACTTGACAATTTTAAACTACATTATCTACTACTGAACAATAACAGTTTTACACAGAGAATCAGTCAGTAATGATTAAAAAATAAAAGTATTGTGTAAGTGCTTCTAACCTCTATAATACTGTGCATGTGTGGAATGAGACGATCCATACGGACTTCCAATAACATGACTAGAGCTCGGCACACATTCTTCCTCACCTCTGGATCTTCATCTGATGCCAAATGGAACAAGTTCTTAAACAAGAGAAAAAAAAAGGAATATAATTTAGATTGATATATAAATAAGTATTACAAACCATTTGATAAACATTCAAAGTATGCACATAACATCCAAATCTGGAAAATTAAGACTGAAGATTATCTGATAATAAATAAACTTAGTATTCCAAAAAATGTTTATTGTCAAATTCTAAGTTCAAGGGAGGTCCAGTTCAATCTACACTTTAATCAACATGTGTTATTGGGTTATACTATACTATACCCAATACTATACTATACCCAATAACACACATTGATCAAAGTGTAGATTGAACTGGACCACCCTTGAACTTAGACTTTGAGATTAAAGAATTTTCCGAATACTGAGTATATTTATTATATCTGCTATTGTGTAGCTATATATTGTGAAGAACTGAATAGTGGCTGATGACACTTTTTCTTCCCTTCATCTATTCAGTGTATAGGTTTTTCTCGTAGCGACTACAAAGCATGCTCACACCAACAGTATGTTTGAAGATTATCTGGTTGTTATGGGTAAGGCTCAACTGTTATTATTTTCCTATCCATAATCAGCTAATGATTTACATTCTGTCCAATAATTACAATAAAAAAACGGTGTTAAAATGTAAAAGGATCTGGTGTTAATAAAAGCAGTATGTTGTTCTTTAAGTAACATTTGTGGATTAACACAAAAGAAAATTAAAACGATGCCCTGCTCACATTAATCAAAAACATTTTCTTAATGTTAATAATAACTCCCAGTAGTACCCATGTAGAAATCTGTATAGCCCTTATTAACATTTTTTTACATTTTATCAGATATAAAACAAAATCAGAAGTCTCTGAAAAACATTTCAATTACAAAATGATACAACAAATCAAAAAACAAGGTTTCTTTCAGAAAAATTGTAGTTAATCAACCTTTTTGCAATGAGCTCATGCATATTATACAATCTTGCATTTAAGTTGTAACCACCATGTAACCATGAAGATATACATAACTCTGAAAGTACTTAATGTATGTTCACAAAATTTGGCACACTTTCAGTAAACACAATTAATTAAAGTATTTTTTTTACTAAAAATTTGTCTGTAATCATATGGAGTCAGGGTATATTGACTGTTCTGAGTGTAAGGTGATTTTCATGTTAAGATTAAAAATACTTTTCCTCATCTGAAAATTTTTAATTTCATCTGCATAATCTCAAAAAAAAAACCCTATAGAAATATAAAACATTTGTTTTTCAGAAAAACTTTAAACTTTATCTGTTATTTTCTCTATCATAACTATACAGGGTCAGTCAAATTGACTGACCTCATAAACACAATAAAAAATTAGGAAATAAATCTAAATTACCCATTTTCTTTCTAGAATGACTGCAAATTGAACATGTAAAAACCGTTTATCCTAATTAGCTTGTAGCTCATAACAGCATTTTTGTTTATACTTAAATGGATAAAGCTTGTGGTAATAGCACCCAAAAATCTTTGGGGATATCCCATCTGTCAAGCAAAATCCAAATTATCAAAGTTAAACAAGTTGACCATCATGGAAAATTAGTACAAGGGTGCGGAGATGAGTGCTTAAGCCCACAACATCTCACCTTCTACTGCCTTTTGCTGTCTGCAGCCAGATGTGGGAAGCCAGATACCCTTGTTATTCAAATTCTAAAAGTAGAAACAGAACCACCTAAAATTTCTACAGTATAGAACTCCCAACAGAAAAGCATTTAAGAGCACTTGGGAATAGGCCATCAATAAGCACAGTGGTGCTTAGTATGTAGGTATGGGCCAAGAAAAAAAAAATGCATTCAATCTATTACTCTATGAAGCTTACAAATAACTGCTAAATTTGGTTATAGCCTTATTTGAGCACCTAATTGCCATTATGTGTTTCACAGCTTGTATAACAGTAATATTATTCTGTTCTTCTACCACATGTATTTTTGTGAGAAATTACTTTTGCAAAAATGAAGTATGATGTAGGTATGGCAATGCCAAAAATACAGAAACAAGGTAGGGATAAATACACAAAACCATACAAATAAAAATCACAAAAATCCCTATACAAGTCACCAGTAAGTAGTGAGTCAATAATACAAGCTTATGGTTATTAGCCACTATAAGACTGTATAGCACTATTCAGTTTAAATGCTTTTATTCGCACCTGAATTCATGCAGTTGACAGGATTTCAACATTTAGTTGTAGATAAAGATAAAAGTTTTTCTTGGAAAGATCTGATTACTTGTGTAGTGATTTTTGTATGGTTTTATGTATTTATCCCTCCCTTGTTTCTGTACTTTTTGCATTGCTATCCCTACATCATACTCAATTTTGCCTCTTTTTTTTTCATTATTTGTTAAATTTAGAATATAACTTTCTAAAGATTGTGACACACTTTGACTTACTCATTACAAAAGGATTAAGAGTAAAAATACCTTCAAAAATCAATCTGTTAACACAAGTTTAACTGCCAAAAAAAAAGACATTTATAAACACAAATAAGGAACTTACTTCCAAAAATTGATCTATATGCATCATCAGTACTTGGGTTCTACTGATAATAAACTGGTTAACACAGGCAATTGCATGAGATCTGATCTTTGGACTGCTATGTCTGAAAAACTGTAGGAACTTTGGAATGAGAACATTTAGTGGTCGGTCTAAAGCTTCACTGTCAAGCACTTCTGCTGAATCTTCACAGATTTTCTGCAAAGCTCCAAATGCACCCTATAATTAAAACACCACAAAAGACTTGAAATAAATGGTTTTCTATAAATCACAGAAATATGACAGTTTTTGTTTCATGAATATTATTAACATATTAACAGTGGTCATTCAGATTAAATAGATTAGAAATTAGAAACTAATCCATAATGAGTAAAATAATTTAATTTTTAATGTACTTACTCAAAATACTAAAATCTGCTTAGCAATAAATAAGATATGACTGAAGCAAATATGATGCCCTTCAACTTTTTCACTATAGGCTCAGTCCCAGTGACGCATCTCGTAACTGTTTTGTGCTCATTAGTTTCATGCTGTAACTTTTAATATAAGTGTATCTACACGAAAATTTATTGATTATCAGTAAACATTACAAGGCTTTCATATGCAAAATATCAATTTTTTTATTAAGTTTTAAAACTTCAAAATTAATGCTTTGCTCATGCATTGTTTTCTTTTCAAATGTTGACTATCCAACATGCAAAGTAATTTTGATTTTAAAATTAAAAATATTTTTATGTATCAGAAAATTGTCAAATTTCACATGCAAAACCTTTACAAGTTCCAGATAATTATCAAATGTTCTTTTGTAGCGAAACTTTATATTTTATTTGTTATTTTCACTACTGTATCTCTGTATGGGTTTGGTCAATTTGACCGACCTCGTAACCACCATAAGAAAAATTTGGAAATAGATATAAAATATGTTTTCTTCATTCTAGAATGACTACAAATTGTAACACAAAAACACAAAT